TTTTCCCTTACCTTTTGTGTCTACTCATTACCAACATAGAAAAGCCTAGAGGTTAAAAGTGTGTGTGTGTGTGTTTTGTTTTTGTTTTTTGGTCGGTCGTGGGGCTTGAACTCTGGGCTTGGGCGCTGTCCTTGCACTCTTCCGCTCAAGGTGAGTGCTCTACTGCTTGAGCCACAGCACCACTTCCAGTTTTGTAGTGGTTTATTAGAGATAAGAGTCTCATGGACTTTCCTGCCCGGGCTGGCTTTGAACCGTGATCTTCAGATCTCAGCCTCCTGAGTAGCTAGGATTACAGGTATGAGCCACCAGCCCCCTGCTAAAAGTGTGTGTGTGTGTGTGTGTGTTTTTTTTTTAGGGTGGGGGACATGGCTCAAGTGCATGAAGCCCTGAATTCAAACCCCTATACCACCAAATAAAAGGGAGAGGTTAATTTTTGAGTCAAAGTGTTTTCTTTCAAAGATTTATTTACTTATCCCAAATTCTTTTTTTACTACTTGCTAGTTTTGGGACCTTCAAATAGTCTAAGTTTTAAGGTTATATCTTCTCCTACTAAATTAGAATGCTTTTAGGATCAGTAGACAATGGGTATTATTGTTGTTTTAAAGTTAGATTTAACATTAGATAAAATTATAAATGTAAGCCAGGCCCTGGTGGTTCACATCTGTAATCCTAGCTACTCAGGTGGCTGAGATCTGAGGACCACGATTCAAAGCCAGTGTGGGCAGGAAAGTTCATGAGACTGATCTCCAATTAATCACTAAAAAACTGGAAGTGGCACTGTGGTTCAAGTGGTAGAGTGCTCACCTTGAGCTGAAGAGCTGAGGGACAGCACCCAGGTCCAAAGTTCAAGCCCCACTATATAGGTATACGTATGTATACCTATATACATACATATGTGTGTAAAGTACTACTATGCTAAGGTACAATTTTCTGTATATTTTGGAATTACACACATCTTTGTAATTAATCTTCCCTGCTGCCTATTTTTACCAAGTAAAGAAAGTAAAGACAGATTCATGACTGCTGGTCAGAGCATAATTGGTGTGACTCTGGGAGGCAATCTGATGATATCTATTAAAGTATCCTTAGAATCTCTGTATATTTTCTTTGAGATGTAAAGATGACAGAAAGGCTGTTTATTTGCAACACTATTTAAAACAATGAATTAGAAAATTTTAAGTCTAGTAATAGATTATTGCCTGAGAAAATTGATACATTTACATTAATGGAATATTTAAAGCAATGTTTTATGACAAAAATTTATACTACATTGAGTGAAATTAACAGGTTAACTTAAAAAAAAATAAAGTTGGGCCTGGCAACAGTGTCTCATGCCTGTAATGTAGCTCCTCAGGAGACTTAGATCTGAGGATTGTAGTTCAAAGCCAGTGTGGGCAGAAAAAGCCTGTGAGTATCTGGTCTCCAGTTAAACAGCAAAAGGCTGGAAGTGGAGCTGTGGCTCAAGTGGTAGAGCACTAGCTTTGAGCAAAAATGTTTAGAGACAGTGCCCTAGGCCCTTAGTTCCAGCTACACAGACACAGACAGACACACACACAGACACAGACACAGAGACACACACAGAGACACACACAGACACACAGACACACACAGACACACACACACAGACACACACACACACACACACACACACACACACACACACGGAAGTTTAGCTGAATGGTGAATGGAGGATATGGGTTTGATTTCCAGTGCCCCCAAAAGGGAAAGTTTGAGATTCATGATTTTTAGATACAAGTATGGTCAAGTGGTAATCTCAAAATGTTGGTAGCTGTCTATTTTGTCATTACCATGGTTTTTACCATTGAGCCATGGCTCCAGCACTAGTAGGGTTTTTAATTCATGGCCTGACTTGCTAGGCAAGCATTCTTCCACTTGAGCTGTACTTCCAGGATTTTTTTTTTTTTTTTTTGTCGGTCGTGGGGCTTGAACTCTGGGCCTGGGCGCTGTCCCTCAGCTCTTCAGCTCAAGGCGAGCGCTCTACCATTTGAGCTACAGCGCCACTTCCGGTTTTCTGGTTGTTTATTGGAGATAGGAGTCTCACGGTCTCTCCTGCCCGGGCTGGCTTTGAACCGCGATCCTCAGATCTCAGCCTCCTGAGTAGCTAGGATTACAGGCGTGAGCCACCAGCGCCCGGCTTTACTTCTAGGATTTTTGTTGTTGTTGTTCTGGTCTGGGGCTTGAACTCAGGGCCTGGGCACTGTCTCTGAGTTTTTTGGGCTCAAGTATAGCCATCTACCATGGGAGCCACAGCTCTACTTTAGCCTTTTGGTAGTTTATTAGAGATAAAGGTCTCATAGACTTATCTTCCCCGACATCTTTGAGCCTCAGATCTCACACCTCTTATTTATTTTTGCCAGTCCCGGAGCTGGGCTTGGGCACTGCCCCTGAACTTCTTCATCTCTTTAACATTTATTTTTTCAGCTAGAATCTACACTTTTTGTCCAAAGTAGTCTTGGGTAGTACTATCTTACTACCTATACCAACCCTGTATCTGGAATTACAGGCATATACCACCATGAGATAAGATCTCACTAACTTTTTTTTCCCCCCTAGATATTGACAGTTGAACTTAGGGATTCGGGCTTGTTAGGTAATTACGCTACCACTGAGCCATGTCTTCAACCTCTTTTTGCTCAAGTTAATTTTAGCAAGGATGTATTTTAGTATAACAGGTTACAGTAGGGGGAAATGGAGAAGAGAGAACATTTCCTCTTTCCCTTGCAGGAAATGAGTTAAAGACTCGTCTTTTTAACATTCTTTTGTTTTTGTTTTTGTTTTTTGGTCAGTCATGGGGCTTGAACTCTGGGCCTGGGCACTGTCCCTCAGCTTTTCAGCTCAAGGCTAGTGCTCTACCACCTGAGCCACAGCACCACTTCCTGCTTTTTTTCTGTTTATGTGGTACTGAGGAATCGAACCAAGGGCCTCATTCATGCAAGGCAAGCATTCTACAACTGAGCCACCTTCCCAGCCCCCTTTTAACATTCTTATATGGTAAAGTTTCACCATTTATCTTTCCTTATTAAAAAAAAATATTAGCCAGGCACTGGTGGCTTACACCTGTAATCCTACTACTCAGGAGGCTGAGATCTGAGGATCATGGTTCAGAGCCAGCCTGGGCAAGAAAGTCTGTGAGATTCTTATCTCCAATAAACCACTAGAAAACCGGAAGTGGCACTGTGGCTCAAACGGTAGAGCACTCGCCTTGAGATGAAGAGTACAGGGACAATGCCTAAGCCCCCACTACCAACAAAACAAAAAAATAACTAAGATTGTAGTTCTTCGAATTTGTGTGTTACACATCCATATTATCTGATTATGAGCTTTAGTGAAAGTTTTATGGTTATGTGTTCAGCAAAACTTCAAGTTTAGGAATTGGACTCTGTGATAAAAATAGAATATAGTAGGAATATAAAATATTTAAAGTACTATAAGTGATTTATCTTTGACATTTCCCTTTTATCTACTTGATGATTATTTTTTAGAATTAGGGAAGAAAATAGTTAATATATGTGGGGTATTTTTTTTTTTGGTTGTTGTTGTTTATTTGGTTTTGTTGTTTTGTGCCAGTACTAGGAGCTTTAGCTTTTTAGCACAAAGCTGATGTTCTAACTATTTGAGCCCACCTCCACTTCTAGCTTTTTGCTCGTTAATTGGAGCATGCAGTCCAGGCTTGCCCATCAAGAAGCCTAGCTTGGTTGTAGGCGTTTATGATCCCAGCTACAAGGGAAGCTGTAGGTAGGAGAATTGATCTTGGTCTGAGGCTGGCATTAGGCAAAAATTAAAGATCCTAACTAAAAGCAAAAACTGGTTAGAAATGTGGCTCAGGTTGTAGAGTACATCCCTAGCAAACCTTGAGTTCAAACCCTAGAGCAAATAGCAACACACACCCATACTCACAAACATACCCTAGTTTCAGACTTAAGATTCAAAATAATAGCAATATTGAGACTTCTTGGAATAGGTTTTCTTAAAAGGGTAAGAAAGATTGCCCATGTTCGTCAGAGAAGAATGAGAGAGTAGTATAAAAAGGCATGTCAGTTCAGCTTTTTTATTCTTTTTTTTTTTTTTTCGTCGGTCGTGGGGCTTGAACTCTGGGCCTGAGTGCTGTCCCTCAGCTCTTCAGCTCAAGGCGAGAGCTCTACCACTTGAGCTACAGTGTCACTTCCGGTTTTTTGGTGATTTATTGGAGATAGGAGACTCACGGTCTTTCCTGCCCGGGCTGGCTTTGAACCGAGATCCTCAGATCTCAGCCTCCTGAGTAGCTAGTATTACAGGCATGAGCCACCAGCGCCCGGCAGCTTTTTTATTCTTGAAGTTCTAATACTAATGTCTAATTCTGTGACAGTATAGTAAGTTTATCGTTTATAGAGATTTAGCCCATTTTAATGTTATTTCTAATGTAAAAATGTTTCATAACAATGTTTTTCTTCAAAACTAGATTATATCTACTCCTTAAGTGTGTATACCAAGTTGTGAGAGACAGGCGAATATAAACATAGGAAAAGAAATGTTTACTGTTTTTAATTGATAACTAATTATATAAGTTAAGTTTTGCTCTGTAGAGTACCCACCACTTGTTAGGTAAGCAGCAACTTAGAAGGTTACAGAGGCTTAAAGACTAGTAGATCAGTGATAGAATACTTGCCTATATTTGCCTAGCATGCACAAGGGCTTGTGTCCAGTCCCTAGAACCCATGTGTGCATGCATACGCGCACACACACACATGAGTGCATGAAAAGACAGGAAAGAAATAAAGAGAAAGAATAATAAAAAGGTTCAAGAAAAATATATGGTGGATGTACTGTTATAAGATCTAAATATTCTAGAGGATTTGGGTGGGATATCCATTCTTGTTAAGTACTTGTATTATTTGGAAGAGAATTAGAATGTTAGGCTTATGAGATTTTAAGTAAAATTTAAATTTCTTCAAAGGAGGTATGGAATTTTTCAGGAATTACTTGAATTTATTTTATTTCAGAAATCGAGCTATAGCAGATTATCTTCGTTCAAATGGCTATGAAGAGGCATATTCGGTTTTTAAAAAGGAAGCTGAATTAGATATGGTATGTTTGACATTTTATATAATTATTCATGGTATAGTTACAAGTGGATTTTACTCAAATGCTAAAAGTTAATAGTCTAGCCACTGGCAAATCTAGTTTGTTATTGTGGTTTACTTGACATTGAATTTGATTTTCACATTCTTTTAGTTATCAGATTCTTAATAATACTTCAGAATAGAGATGCTTTCTGTGGCTTGAAGTGTCATAGTTAAAAAGTTGTCATTTTTTTTTCCCCTTGTAGAATGAAGAATTAGATAAAAAGTATGCTGGCCTTTTGGAAAAAAAATGGACATCTGTTATTAGATTACAAAAGAAGGTAAGTCTTTTTCTTTTTAAATTATGTATTCTGTGTGTTACCTTATACTTTTTGAAATACTGGCATAAATAATATCTAATTAGAGAAGACAAAAATACATTTGTTGCCAGGCGCCAGTGGCTCATGCCTGTAATCCTAGCTACTCAGGAGGCTGAGATCTGAGAATCACTGTTCAAAGCCAGCCTAGGCAGGAAAGACCATGAGACTCCTATCTCCAGTAAACACCAGAAAACCGGAAGTGGCGCTGTAACTCAAGTGGTAGAGCACTTGCTTTAAGCTGAAGAGCTGAGGGACAGCACCCAGGCCCAGAGTTCAAGCCCTACAACCAACCAAAAAAAAAAAAAATGTTTGTTGTGATTTATGAAAATTTTGGCTTACAGCATTGATGATACATGCTTAGCTTACCCTTGGCATCTGAAATAGTAACTTTTGAATCTGCATTGTTCTCACTTTGGGAAATGAATGTGGAAGTAATTCATTTGTGTCCTGAGAAGAAAAGGACACATGAGGCCATTGGGTATTGAAGAAAGAAGGCTAAAATGTGTTCTTAGACAAGTCATGTCATTTTGAACTTCATTTTTACCTTACATAGCTAAATCATAATTCTAACATAACATTATGTAGAAAAAGCTAAAATAAATAACATGATTCTAATGTGAGTTCAGACATATAAAGCTCTTAAGAAAAGAACCTACCTGCCTAGCACATGTTCAGTAAATATTATCTTTTAGCTGGGTGCCAGTGGCTCACGAATGTGGTCCTAGCTATTTAGGTGATCTGAGGATTGTGGGTCAAAGCTTGTTCAGGCAGGAAAGTCCATGAGACCCTTATCTCTAATGAGCTACAAAACAAACAAAACAACAACATGGAAATGGAGCTGTGACTCAAGTTGTAGAGCACTAATTAATCTTTTTTTGTTGTTGTTGTTTTTGGTCGGTCATGGGGCTTGAACTCTGGACCTGGGTGCTGTCCCTCAGCTCTTCAGCTCAAGGGAAGCGCTCTACCACTTGAGTTATAGCGCCACTTCCGGTTTTCTGGTGGTTTTTATTGGAGATAAGAGTTTCACAAGCTGTCTTTGAACCATGATCCTAGATCTTAAGCCTCCTTAGTAGCTAGGATTACAGGCATGAGCCACTGGTGCCTGGCTACAAATTAATTTTAAAAGGAAGTGAGGGACAGCTCCTCAAGACCAGCACACACACAAAAATCCTTTTTTATTTTTGATCAGTCATAGAACTTGAACTTAGAGGGGCTGGGAAGGTGGCTCAGTAGTAGAGCGCTTGCCTTGCATGCCTGAGGCCCTGGGTTCGATTCCTCAGCACAACATAAGCAGAAAAAGTCGGAAGTGGTACTGTGGCTTAAATGGTAGAGCGCTAGCCTTGAGTTGAAATGCTGAAGGACAGTGGCCTGGGCCTAGAGTTCAGGCCCAGCGACCGAGGGTAAAAAAAAAAAAAAAAGCCCAAGCCAGTGGCCCACACCTGTAATCCTAGCTACTCAAGAGGCTGAGATCTGGGGATCATGGTTCAAAGCCACCCTGGGCAGGAAAGTCCCTGAGGCCCTTATCTCCAATAAACCATTCAGAAAACCGGAAATGGTGCTGTGCTCAAGTAGTAGAGCACTTGTCTTGAGCTGAAGAGCTGAGGGAGCGTGTCCAGGCCTAGAGTTCAAGTCCCACGACCAACAAAACAAAACAAAAAAAACCAACAGTTCAGTTGCACCAAATTTTTCCAGTTTTAGGTGATATATTTGACTGATTTAATTTTTTTTTTCATTTAAGTCAATCAAATGCCTTGCAGATTAGTTAGTACAGTTTTCTTGAGTATCTAAAATATTAAGGTATAAATAAAAGCAGCTACTAAAGAATGTCAAATAAGTTATTTCTCAAAATCTTATCTATACTTAACTACATGTTCTTTTTCAAGGTTATGGAATTAGAATCAAAGCTAAATGAAGCAAAAGAAGAATTTACGTCAGGTGGTCCTCTTGGTCAGAAACGAGATCCAAAAGAATGGATTCCCCGTCCACCAGAAAAATATGCATTGAGTGGTCACAGGAGTCCAGTCACTCGAGTCATTTTCCATCCTGTGTTCAGTGTCATGGTCTCTGCTTCAGAGGATGCTACAATTAAGGCAAGCCTTTGTTAAAAGTAGACATGATAATGCACTAGATGAAAAGAGTATATAAGATCATGAAAATGAGGGCCTCTGTAGAAGGACCAGGATAAGCTGTGTGAAACTGTAAATCATTTAATTCTGAACCTGAAAGACATAATTAACTAGGTAAGGGGTTATGCACCTTGTAATCCCAGACACTTTGGAAGCAGAGGTAAGAACATCATGGGTCCAGATCTTACCAAATAAACAATAAAAAGGTCTACAGGCTATTGCACAAGTGGTAGAGAACACTGGGAGGCCCTAAATTCAATCCCCATTACCTCAACAAGTAAATACTTGTACTTCATGGGAAGCATGCTGCTAGTGTGTTCACTGAAGAATTTGAAAAAATACATTGGTAAGATTATATATTTTTACTGCTTTTATAGCAGTATAAATTTTTATCATGAAAATTTTATTGTATAATTATACAAAAAGTAAATATATTGCTGAGTACCTAATCCTAGCTAGCCAGTATCAAGGTTCAAAGCCAGGCTTTGTGGGATTCTTATATCCAATTAACCACCAGAAAGCCAGAAGTAGAGCTGTGCCTGGAACATGAGTTCAAGCCCCAGGGTTGGAACAAACAAGTAAATAAAATATTGTTATTTCATTTTTAAAATTTAAAATGGAAGGTGCTTTTGTTAAGTTGCTATTTATCTCCTTAGCAATTGTACTCAGTAGACTCAGTGTTGAAAATGAACCATACAACTTGGTGGGCAAGGACAGGAGGAAGAGAGCAAAGGAAGGGGTGACATTTTCCAAAAAATGTTCTCATGCCGGGTACCAGTGGCTCATGTCTGTAATCCTAATTACTCTTGAGGCTGAGATCTGAGGATCAAAGTTCAAAGCCAGTCTGGGCAGAAAAGTTCGTGAGATTTTTTTGTTTTGGTCGGTTTTGGGGCCTGGGAACTGTCCCTAAGCTCGTTCATTCAAGGATAGTGCTCTACCACTTTGAACCACAGTGCCACTTCTGGCTTTTTCTGTGTATATTATTGGAGATAAGAGTCTTATAAACTTTCCTCTCCAGGCTGGCTTGGAACCACCATCCTCAGATCTCAGCCTCCTGAATAGCTAGGATTACAGGTGTGACCTACAGGCACTTGGCTTTTTACATCACTTTTATAATAACAATAAAAAAAAAAAAACCCTTTCCTTAAATAGCTGATCTCTACTACTCCAGTAGAAATGAGCCTTCTGGTATCTGGGCACTGGTAGCTTATACCTATGATCCTTGCTACTCAGGAGGTTGAGATCTGAGGATCAAGGTTCTAAGCCAACATGGGCAGGAGAGTCTGTGACTCCTATCTCCAATTAACCAACAAAAAGCCAGAAATAGAGTTTTGGCTCAAGTGGTAGAGTATAAAAGCTCGGGGATAGTGCCCAGGCCGTTAATTCAAGCCCCAGGACCAACAAAGAACTGAGCATTCTGTTATTTTGAAAATTCTACATATATATTCTTGTCATAGCCCCCTGAACCTTTTTTCTTTTTTGGTCAGTTATGGGGCTTGAACTTGGCCTGGGTATTGTCCCTCAGCTCTTTATCTCAAGGCAAGCATGCTACCACTTGAGCCACAGGGCCACTTCCAGTTGTCTGGTGGTTTATTGAAGATAGGAGTCTTACATACTTTCCTGCCCGGGCTGGCTTTGAACTGTGATCTTCAGTTCTCATCCTCCTGAATAGCTAGGATTACAGGCCTGAGCCACAGGTGCCCAGCTTTGTTTTTTCGTCTTGTGCTTGAACTCTGGGCCTGTGCGCTGTCCCTCTGCTCTTCAGCTCAAGGTGAGCATTCTACCACTTGAGCCACAGTGCCACTAACTTTCCTGCCTGGGCTGGCTTAGAACCACAGTTCTTAGGTATCAGCCTCCTGAGTAGCTAGGATTACAGATGTGAGTCACCGGTGCCCTGCTGAAACTTCTTTTGTGTGTGGTACTTTTTTTGAACTTAGGTCCTCGTGTTCTCTTGGCTTGCTTGCTTACTCTACTACTTGAGCTATATCTCCAATCAGACTTTTTTTTGGTCCGGTCGTGGGCTACTTCCAGCTTTTTTTTCCTTTTTGCTTATGTGGGGCTGAGGAACCGAACCCAGGGCCTCATGCATGCAAGGCAAGCGCTCTACCACTGAGCCACTTTCCCAGCCCCTCCAATCAGACTTTTCGTTGATTATTTTGGAGACGGAATGTCACAGACTATTTTCTTACCTGAGCCAGTTCTTGAACCACCAGCACCCAGCCATAAAACATTTTTTACACTTAAATTTCCTATTTATATCTGTTGCCTGCCTTAGAAGGGAGGAACTGAACCTTGTGGATTTACATGCATTTTACTAGCATGATTGTATATGTTAAGTACTTACTGTGGTAGCAGAAGTCTATTTTAATAAATGAAACCAGTTTTGGCTAGAGAAATAGTCGATTTGTCCATTTGTTATTTCATTTAATTAGTAAGATGTCAGACTGGTGGCTGAATATAAATGTGAAATGAAAAAGTAACATATTGGTATTAATCGTTTTTTTTCTTCCATAGGTGTGGGATTATGAGACTGGAGATTTTGAACGAACTCTTAAGGGACATACAGATTCTGTACAGGATATTTCCTTTGACCACAGTGGCAAGCTTCTGGCTTCTTGTTCTGCAGATATGACCATTAAACTATGGGATTTTCAGGGCTTTGAATGCATCAGAACCATGCATGGTAAGGGGGTAACAGATAGTGCTTTAGCAGTGATTTCTAGCATTGCAGATGCCCTACACTCAACTCTTAATCATTTGCATTGCTAGAGGAGCATATGATGTGTATACATAGTCTTTAGATAAGCTATAATGGTTTAGAATTGTTTATATGAAGCTTTAAGATTGCTCTGACTCACATAAAATACTTGGTATTCTTAAGTGTTTTTAGACAACAAAAACTGCCCTGTCATTGGTTTATTGAAGAAGGAAATAAAGTTACTGAGAATTCCTTCTTTTCATCCATTCAGTTGGAAGCTGAAGTCCAGAGATCAATGATGTAATGAAAACTGTAGCCCAGGTTTCTTGGCTCACTTAGAGAAGTGTTATACCTATATACTCATTGTCAGCTTCTTGGCCAAGTCATGCTGTGGAGACAACAAGGCAGTATGCTTTTGTGGGAATAGTCTTTGGAATCCATTATCTGGGTTCATAGTCTTTGTTCTTAGGCCATTAGGAAATTTTTAATTCTTTCATCTGTAAAATAAAGATAATGAGGGCTGGGAAGGTGGCTCAGTGGTAGAGTGCTTTCATTGCATGCCTGAGTCCCTGGGTTCGATTCCTCAGCACCACATAAGCAAAAAGAAAAAAGCCGGAAGTGGCGCTGTGGCTCAAATGGTAGAGCGCTAGCCTTGAGCTGAAGAGTTGAGGGACAGCGCCCAGGCCCAGAGTTCAGGCCCCACAACCGGACCTAAAAAAAATAAAATAAAAAAATAAAAAAAATAAAGTCATGATAGCTAAGATGTCGAGAGGATAATAAATAGTATATGATCATGATATAATAAATCATCTTTTAGCCGGGCGCCAGTGGCTAACGCCTGTAATCCTACTTACTCAGGAGGCTGAGATCTGAGGATCTTAGTTCAAAGCCAGCCCAGGCAGGAAAGGCCAAGAGATTCTTTTTTTTTTTTTTTTGGGTCTGGCCGTGGGGCCTGAACTTTTTAAGTAGGCAAACATTCTATTCCTGAGTCTTGCCTTTAGATTAGCACACCTCCCCACCGGTTTTTGGTTTTTGGTCCTGGGACTTGAACTCAGGGCATGAGTGATATCCCTCAGCTTTTTGGCTAAAGGCTAGCACTCTACCACTTGAGTCACAATTCTATTTTAGCAGCGTTTTTGGTGGTTAATTGGAAATTTGATTCTCATGGACTTGACTGCCTAGACTGTTTGATCCTCAATCCTCAGATCTCAGCCTCCTGGATAGCTACGATTGCAGTTGTGAACCACTGGTGCCCAGCTGTACTGGATATTTTGAGCTCCAGTTTCTCTTTAAACCTCTCAATCTACTTTTTTATGTGCCCTGTTGTAGCTATGAGGACAGTTGGGTCCATCTATTGGTGAGAAGGGGGTCGTGTGTATTCCCAGTCTGGCCCTCAACCATAATCTTGTTTTAGCCTCCTAAGTAGCTAGATTTACAGTTGTAGGTCACCAGTACCCTGCTGAAATAATACTTTTTTAAAATTTCCATTATCACAGCAGCATAAAAATAATTCTCGACCACTATTAGTCTCAGGTTTGTCTGCTCAGGCTGGCTTTGAACTGAGATCCTCACGTCTTAGCCCTCTGAGTAGGATTATAGGCGTGAACCACTAGCACCTGACTCTGTCTTGCTTTTTAGCCCAGGCTAACCTTGAAAATGAGATCCTTTGATCATCTTGCCTCAGTCTCTGCAGGACATAACAACACCTGACCCCCATTTCTTTTATTGATTCTGTGAACTGTATAATGTAAATCTTATTTTATATATCTGAGAATATCAGCCATAGAATATTTCATGTTATAAACATTCAGATTCACTAGAGTGTATGAATATATTGACATAGTGGTGATGCCTGTGTTTATAAACAGTCATGGAGATTGAAATTTAATTTATAATCAGTTCCTGAACTTTTTTGTGTAAATCTCCAAGGTTATTTAAAGCTCAGTGAATTAAGAACTTGATATGGCCAGGTACTGTGGCTTACAGCTATAATCCTAGCTACTCAGGAGGCTGAGATCAGAGAGTCATGGTTAGAAGCCAACCTGGGCTTGGAAAGCCTTCACTCTTATCTCCAATTAGCTAGCAAAAAGCTGGAAATGGAGATGTAGCTCAAGTGGTAGAATGCTAGCTTTGAGCTCAGGGAAAGTGCTCAGGCCCTGAGTTAAGCCCTAGGATCTGTACACACAAAAGAGAACTTGCTGTGGCTTTTTAAAATACTATGGAATAATCCATGGTGAACTGAGGTCTAATTATTTTTGGTGTTTTATTGCTAAATACATTATTGTGTTATGTGTTTTAGGCCATGACCACAATGTCTCTTCAGTAGCCATCATGCCTAATGGAGATCATATAGTGTCTGCTTCACGGGATAAAACTATAAAAATGTGGGAAGTGCAAACTGGGTAAGTAAGTTTAGTTGAAGAAGCATAGCTAAAAAGAAAGACAAAACCATACTCCTGATGTTTAGCAATTTTTCTTTCTTTGGCTTAATCTAACATGATCATCATGATAGTTGTTGTACTGACAGTTGTATACTTTTTTTTTTTTTTGTCAGTCATGGGGCCTGAACTCGGGGCCTGAACTCAGGTCCTGGGCACTGTCCCTGAGGTCTTCAGCTCAAGGGTAGTACTCTACTACTTGAGCCACAGCACCACTTCCAGTTTTTTCAGTATATGTGGTGCTGAGGAATCGAGCCCAGGGCCTCATGCATACGAGGCAAGCATTCTACCTTCCTAGCTCCGATTTATATACTTTGAAAGTAAGTTTAAGTAACTCATATACCAGTACATGAGTTCAGTGGTAGAACACTTGCCTAGCCCTCAAGCCATGCACAAGACTCTTAGCGTTAGTTCCTAGCACTACAAAAACAAAAACTTGTCCCTCCCCCCCAAAAAAAATCCATTAAGTAATATTTCAATATTTCTATGGGTAAATTAAAATGTAAATAACATTTGTGTTAGTATGGCCCTGTTATGTTGAGCTTAGAATTACACTTAATAGTTGTTGTAAAACCTTAATTGACTGGTTTTGCCCAGATTAGTAAAGCGTAGTTTTTCCAGAATCACTGGAAACATTATAAAGCATTGTATTCCTCTGTGTATTTTGCTTTCTCTGATTTTATTGAATTAGTTCTTTAGTGATGTACCAGTCAGCCTGTATTGGTGTTTGACTTTCTGTCCTACGTTTATCTTGTATTAACCAGGATTTTACAATTATTTTGTTGACTTAGATATGTTTTGTCTAACTTCCTTTATCCTAATGCATAGATATTTTTGTGTTATTTGTGAAAAGTATTTTGATGATTGTTACTCACAATGTAAATTATTACTTACGTTGACAGCTACTGTGTGAAGACATTTACAGGACACAGAGAATGGGTACGTATGGTACGGCCAAATCAGGATGGCACTCTCATAGCCAGCTGTTCCAATGACCAGACTGTTCGTGTGTGGGTCGTAGCAACAAAGGAGTGCAAAGCAGAGCTCCGAGAACATGAGCATGTGGTGGAATGCATTTCCTGGGCTCCAGAAAGTTCATATTCTTCCATCTCTGAAGCAACAGGATCTGAGGTACTATATAATATACATGTCATTTTATGATTTAGTTGCTGAAATCTTAAGACCCTTATATAATGTTTCTATTTTTCAGTTTTAGATCTGGTGGCTCATTTAAGAATCTGCATCATAGAGTTTTTGAATCTTGAAACTCTGACCTTTCCAACATGTAGTTGGGCTTCTTTTTTTAAACTTTTTTTGTTGGTTGTGGGGCTTGAACTCTGGGCCTGGGCACTGTCCCTCAGCTCTTCAGCTCAAGGCAAGTGCTCTACCACTTGAGCCACAGCGCCACTTCCAGTTTTTCTAGTGGTTTATTGGAGATAGGAGTCTCACGGTCTTTCCTGCCCGGGCTGGTTTTGAACCGCGATCCTCAGATCTCAGCCTCCTGAGTAGCTAGGATTATAGGCGTGAGCCACCAGCACCCAGCTGGGCTTTTAATTTTTTTTTTGGGGGGGGGTGTTCTGGTCATGGGGCCTGAACTCTGGGCCTGGGTGCTGTCCCTCAGCTCTTCAGCTCAAAGCTAGCGCTCTACCACTTGGCCATAGCAACACTTCTGGCCTTTTTTCCTGCTTATGTGGTGCTGAGGAATTGAACCCAGGGTCTCATGCATGCAAGGCAAGCGCTCTACCACTGAGCCACCTTCCCAGCTTGGGCTTCTATTTTTCAACCAGTGATTATTGTTGCTGTGAAATGAGCCTTGATTTGATGTGTGTTGAGGCTGGGGATTCTCTTGAGTAAAAGTGATCTTTTGAAGCCAAACATTGTGGCACATAGCTGTAATCTAGCACTCATGAGTCAAAAACAGAAGGATCTTGAATTTAAGTCCGGTTTCTGCTACACAGCAAGACTTCATCTCAAAACACAAATAGCCAAAAAAATTACAGAATGGTATTTCCATTAATACGTTGTATGAGCCAAAATTGGTCATATTTCTTTTTGTAGAGGCTTTCATATCATGGATTTCTAATACTGCCACTTAAATTGAAGAAGAAATCACCCTTAATCTTGACTAGTTTTCTGAATGAAACTTATGTTGTGATTCCTCTTGATTTTGGCTGGCCTATCATTCATTCCCTGCCCCCCCCCCCCCCCCCCCCTTTCTATCACCTATCTCAGGCTCTTAAGCATGCCAGACAAGTGCTCTTATATTCCACTCAGTATTTTCAAACTCTATGCTGCCCTGTGGTGATTGTTACTTACCATGTAGATCTATCCTGGCTGGACTTTAACTAAAAATTAAAAGTTTTAAAGTCTTTTTTTCCCCCTTTTTTCGTTTTTAAAATACTGCGGATTTAATTCAGGGTCTTATGCTTGCTGAGTTGATAATACTCACTTGAACCATATCTTCTGGCCATTTTTTTCCTTAGTTTTTTTTTTGTTTGTTTGTTTTTGTTTTTTGTTTTGGCCGGTCGTGGGGCTTGAACTCTGGGCTTGGGCACTATCCCTCAGCTCTTCAGCTCAAGGCTACCACTCTACTGCTTGAGCCACAGCACCACTTCTAGTTTTCTAGTGGTTTATTGGAGATAAGAGTCTCACGGACTTTCCTTGCCCGGGCTGGCTTTGAATCGTGATCCTCAGATCTTAGTCTCCTGAGTAGCTAGGATTACAGGCATGAGCCACCGGTGCCTGGCTTTGCCTTAGTTATTTTTTTAGATAGAGTTTCACATTTTTACCTTAAGCCAGCCTTAGACCTCAGTCTTCCTACCCTACAGATTCCTTTGTACTGGGTTCAAAGGCATTTGTGACAATCATGGCTTACTAAGATAGGATCTTGCTAGCTTTTTGCCTTGGCTGGTCTTGGACTGAGATTCTCTTGATCTTTCTGACTCTCCAAGTGGCATGAGCAACTTTACCTGGTCTTAAGAATCCTTTTTTTTTTTTTTTCCTGTCAGTCGTGGGGCTTGAACCCTAGGGTCTGAGTGCTGTCCCTGGACTGCTTTTGCTCAAGGCTGCTTTTGCTCTACGACTTGAGCTTCAGTGCTACTTCTGGCTTTTTCTGTTTATGTAGTACTGAGGAATTGAATCAAGAGCTTCTTGCATGCTAGGCAAGCACTCTTACCACTAAGCCACATTCCCAGCCCAACAATCTTTCTTGATTATAGACGTGGTGCTGGGGCTCAAACCCAGTGCCTAGTGCAGACTAGGCAGGATCTCTATCATTGAGCTATATCCTCAGCCCTGATTATAGAGGTTGGTGTTACCTAGATTCATGTATAATCTAGGTGTGGTGTGCAAAGACTTAAATGTTTTAATAGATAAAAACAAATTGCATTTTTGTAAAGTATTGGAAATATTCTACAAAGAAGCCATTTAAAGTACTTAGCTGCCTTCTTGTATGGGAAAATCATTTTTTGTTTTTTTGTTTTTCTATAGACTAAAAAAAGTGGCAAACCTGGGCCATTCTTGCTATCTGGATCCAGAGACAAAACTATTAAGATGTGGGACGTCAGTACTGGCATGTGCCTTATGACTCTTGTAAGTTTGCAAGATCTCCTTGCTTTTTTGGTATCTTCACTGTCTTTTTACCTTTTTTGGATTAGATACTCTATGATATTTTATTAAGTAACCCCAGTTGTTCTAGGATTTAGAATAAGTTCTTTATAAAGATGTTTTTCCTTAAGTTTTTGTAAACCCACTATTGCAGTAACATGAAAGTTATTTCTATAGAATGCCAACTTACATAATCTACAAAGTCATTATGCTGGGAAGGAAGATTCTAGCCTACTGCATCTTTAAAAATTATGTGATACCTCCTGTGGCTTATACAGACGTTTTTTGAGGTATTTGCATCTTTACATTATTGTGAAATTATTCATTCTTACGTTATGATTTGGAGGTGTGTATTTCCCCCTATTGTATATTATATTGTATATTTCCCTACTGTTGTATAGTAGATCTAGTCTGGAGAACTAAGAAGCCACCACTTAAAAGGCAGAATTTGGATGGAGTGCTAGCGGGTAGAAAGAGCTCCTGTCATAAAGTCCTACCACACTTAATACAATTAACATGGCTTATATAGCCCAAAATCACACGAGGTACATGTAATTAATCTTAACATAATAAAAAGCAATCAGATGTGAACACAAAGTAACTAAGAAAAACCAGTGAACTCTGAGATCTAACAAAGATATTATAAATGTAAGTCAAAACGAATATGGACACAATCAAGGGAAATCTAGAACCAATCATCTAAGGAAAGTAAAACTTTCCTGGAATTTACCAACCCAAAACACATTTGTAATCTAAAGAATGGTATATTATCAATGCTTTTTGCTTAGACCCAGTATCCTTACTTTACTAGGAGCATTGAGATCTCCAGTTGAGGATATACAAATGCTGAGACACTCTGGTTTGCTTAAAGGAATTCTCAGAGGAATTGTGGATAATTTGGCACCCATGTTTGTTTAGAGATTGTATAGGCACTAACCATATCTCCTAAGTGACTGTCTGTATAATAGGAAAGACACGTGTGGAGGCATCATAAGGAATTGATGAGAAGAGCCATATGTGTAATTGGGGTGACAGACACACACCACTATGCCCAGCTTTTTTATTGTTAGGGTCTAGCTAATATTTTGCCTTTCTTGAGTTCAAACACCAATAAACCTTCCCTCTCCAAAAAAAAAAAAAAGAAGACAATTTAAACTCTGGTAATGTCAGAGTTGAGTTCAGTTATACTATGTTGCAATTCTTTATTTAAAATCAGAAAGCAAAAATAAAATTAGAAAGCAGCCAGGCACTAGTGGCTCGGACCTGTAATCTAGATACTCAGGAGGCTGAGATCTGAGCTTGCACCCAGTCCTAAAGAAAAGTCCTCATAAGATTCTTTATCTCCAATTAACCATTCAAAAACAGGAAGTGGAGCTGTGGCTTAAAGTGGTACAGTGTTATCCTTGAGCAAAAGAGCTCAGGGATAGCACTCAGGCCCTGAGTTGAAGCCACATATCTGGCAAAAAAAATTAAAATAAGTCAGAAAGCAAGTTTATTGTGAATTTCTCCATGATTCTGGCTTCTGTTATTCAACTGAAGTGGGTGCTTCTTTTGTGTTTGGTATGGCCATAAAAACATGGTTGGATTTCTTAGGCTTCTATAAAAAAGACTTGTAGTCCTAGCTACTCAGGAGACCGAGTCAGAGAATTGCATTTCAAATCCAGCCTGGGCAGGAAAGTCCATGAGACTCTTGATCTCCAGTTTACCTCCAGAAAACTAAAAGTGGAGCTGAGGTCAAAGTGGTAGAGTGCTATCCTTGAGCAAAAGAACTCAGAAAACACCTTGGCCTGGAGATCAAACCCCATGACCAACAGAAAAAAAAGGAAGAAAGATTTCTACCTCTCATGACTGGTACATTTTGTAGGTAGCACAGTATACCAGAGTACTTTAAAGTAGGACAAAAAACCTGTCTGTCTCCTTGGCTATCTTTTAGTCTTGGATTTTTGGTTTTCTTGAGATATTGTTTTAGTATATTAGATTAGGCTGACCCACAGTTTGTTGTATAGCCCAAGTTTGCCTTGGATTTCAGATCCTCTTGCCTCAACTTTTTTTTTTTTGGGGGGGGGGGTCCGGTCGTGGGGTCTGAACTCTGGGCCTGGGCGCTGTCCCTCAGCTCTTCAGCTCAAGGCTAGCACTCTACCACTTGAGCCACAGTGCCACTTCCGGCTTTTTTCTTTTTGCTTATGTGGTGCTGAGGAATCGAACCCAGGGCCTCATGCATGCAAGGCAAGCGCTCTACCACTGAGCCACCTTCCCAGCCCTCTTGGCTCAACTTTTTAAGCACTAGGAGCATAGACATACGCTTCTATGCTCAGCTCTAATCTTTTTTTCTTGTTGTTGTTGTTGGTCATGGGGCTTAAACTCTGGGCCTGGGCGCTGTCCCTAAGCTCTTCAGCTCAAGGCCAGCACTCTTTCATTTGAGCCACAGCGCCACTGCTGGTTTTCTGAGTGGTTTATTGGAGATAAGAATCTTATTGGGTTGGGAAGGTGGCTCAGTGGTAGAGCACTTGCCTTGCATGCTTGAGGCCCTGGGTTTGATTCCTCAGCACCACATAAGCAAAAAGAAAAAAAGAATCCTATGGACTTTACTGCACGGCTAGCTTTGAACCACTATCCTCAGATCTCAGCCTCCTGAGTAACTAGGATAACAGGCATGAGCCAACAGCACCCGGCTTGTCCCTCAATTTTTTAGCTCAAGGCTAGCACTCTACCATTTGAGGCACAGCTCCACTTCTGGCTTTTTGGTGTTCAGATTACCATTTGGTAGTTTTCATATATATCTATATCCATTTATTTTGCATAACAACTTTTTGTGTGTGTGTGGTACTAGAGCTTGAACTTGGAGTCTTGGGTTTGCTCAGCTTGCTTGGTCACTTAGGTGGCATACTACCTCTTGGGCCATGCCTCCTGTCCAGAGCTAGTTACTTTGGAGATAGGATCTCCAGGACTTTTTTCCCCCTGGGCTAGCCTCAAACCACAATCCTCCAGATCTCAGTCATCTGTGTAGCTGTGAGAACCGTGATCCTCAGATCTCAGTGTCCTGAGTAGCTACGATTACAGGTGTGAGCCACTGCTGCCCAGCTGACATTCCCATTTTTGTATATAATTTTGGAGGTTATTTATCTTATTTTATTTGTTTTGTTTCAAAGCCAAGGTCTGTGTTTGATCCTAGAGTTTGATCCTAGTGCTCTTAAAAACAAAGATTTTTTTTTTTTATTTCAAATTAAGTACCAAAAAACTGAAAATGGAGCTATAGCTGAAGTGGTAGAGCACTAAACATAATAGTGAGCCAGGCGCCTGTGGCTCACGCCTGTAATCCTAGCTACTCAGGAGGCTGAGATCTGAGAATCGCGGTTCAAAGCCAGCCCGGGCAGGAAAGACCATGAGACTCCTATCTCCAATAAACCACCAGAAAACCGGAAGTGGCACTGTAGCTCAAGTGGTAGAGCGCTCACCTTGAGCTGAAGAGCTGAGGGACAGCGCCCAGGCCCAGAGTTCAAGCCCCATGACCGACAAAAAAAAAAAATAAAAAAAATAAATAAATAAAAAATAAAAACTAAGTGAGCTGGGCCCCAGTAGCTCACACCTGTAATCCTAGCTACTCAGGAAGATGGTGAGATCTGAGGATCACTGTTCAAAGCCAACTCAAGCAGGAAAGTCTGTGAGACTCTTTCTCTCCAGTTAACCACCAAGAAACCTGAAGTGGTGCTGTGGCTCAAGTGGTAGAGGGCTAGCCTTGAGATGAAGAGCTGAGGGACAGCGCCCGGACCCTAGGAATGGCACCAATACATATATATCCCATTAAAGTTATTGAACCCCAGAGCTTTGTGAGTGCTAATAAGCACTTTCTCTATCACTGACAAATATTCTCCAAGTCCCCTAATTGTAATACAACTTTATACTGCTCCTCTTAGTTACATGTGCCATTTTTACTTTTTGTTTTAAATATTAGTACTGAGATGTGATTTTGGAGTCTCATTCTTGCTAGGTACTTTACTATTGAGCCCAAAAGATTTTTCATAAGTTTCTCCAGGGTTTCTAAGGTAAAAAGGTAAAAGTTTGATTTGTCACATTAGAGATAACAAGCATTTTTGTCCTAGAACTTTTGAAAAAGGACATTCCTGTGTCATTTTCAGTAATGCTAAGTATCTGGGTGCAGTGGCTCAGAGATAACAAGCATTTTTGTCCTAGAACTTTTGAAAAAGGACATTCCTGTGTCATTTTCAGTAATGCTAAGTATCTGGGTGCAGTGGCTCACTCCCGTTATCCTAACTACTCAGAAGGATTACAGTTACAGTTAGAAGCCAGTCCAGGCAAAATGTTTGAAAGACCCACCCTCAGTCCCTGAAAGCTAGACATGGTGTACACTTGTCATCCCAGCCATGCAGGTGACATAAATAGGAGAATTGGAAAAACAACTCAAACAAAAAGCTGTGGATATGGCTCAAGTGGACAGGTAGTATGTATGTCTAGCAAGCTCAAAACCCTGAATTTAAACTCCAGAAATGAAATTTAAGAAAAGAAAAGAAAAAAAAAAGGTTTTGTTGTAATAACATTATTGTATATTATTATATAGATGCTGTTTAATTTACCCGTTTGCTAAGTCAGGTACCTTTTTGTCTTTAAGGTGGGTCATGATAACTGGGTACGTGGAGTTCTGTTCCATTCTGGGGGGAAATTTATTTTGAGTTGTGCTGATGACAAGACCTTACGTGTATGGGATTACAAGAATAAGCGATGCATGAAGACCCTCAATGCGCATGAACACTTTGTTACCTCCTTGGGTATGTATACATCCTGATGTTTCTGAACAAGTACAGTGTGGAGAGCCAGTTGTAAGGGAAGTATTAAGTAGCATTGGGGACTTCTCCAGGTAAGAAATGTCCATGCTATTCCAGGGAAAAATAGAGAAGGCAGGTTCAAACTCCATGGAATTCCTACCAGTTACTCCTTCCCTTCATTAGCTTCATAATAAAGACATTGATTTTGAAAACTGGAATTTTAAAAAGGATACCAAGGTAATTTCTCTTCCCTACTACTATGTAAATTTCTCAAAAAATGTATTCAATAAGATGACAATTTATTTATTTATTTTTTGTCTGCATGGGGCTTGAACTCTGGGCCTGAGTGCTGTCCCTCAGCTCTTCACTTGAGCTACAGTGCCACTTCCGGTTTTCTGGTGGTTTATTGGAGATAAGAGTTTCACGGACTTTCCTGCCTGGGCTGGCTTTGAACCGTGATCCTCAGATCTCAGCCTCCTGAGTAGCTAGAATTACAGGTGTGAGCCACCAGCGCCCGGCTTCAGAAACCTTTTCATCTGGCAGGTGTCTACTGTCATGTACTAGGAACTCCAGAAATTATGTTTAATAGGCGTCATCACTATAATATGGATATGGGTCCGGATGTGTGTGTGCACGCTGGTCCTGGGGCTTGAATTCAACGAATGGGCGCTGTTACTGACCATAGCTCTACTTCTGGCTCTTTTAGTAGTTTTGTCTTCGTTTTTGTTTTGTTTTGTTCGCCCAGTCCTAGGGCTTGAACTCATGGCCTGGGTGCTGTCCCTGAGCTTCTTTGCTCAAGGCTAGCGCTCTACCACTTGAGCCACAACGCCTCTTCCGACTTTTTTCTTTTTGCTTATGTGGTACTGAGGAATGAACCCAGGGCCTCAGGCATGCAAGGCAAGCGCTCTACCACTGAGCCACCTTCCCAGCCCCAAGGCTAACACTCGTATCACTTGAGCCATAGCTCCACTTCTGGCTTTTTCTGTTTATGTGGTGCTGAGAAATCAAACCCAGGGCCTCATGCATGCAAGGCAAGCACTCTACCACTGAGCTACCTTCCCAGCCCCTCCCAGCCCTTTTTTAGTAGTTTTTATTGGAGATTAGAGTTAACTGACAAACAAGTGCTAGTGGCTAATGCCTATAATCCTAGCTACGCTGGAGGCTGGTATCTGAGGGTTGTAGTTCAAAGCCAGCTGGGGCAGAATAGTCCCTATGAGACTCTTATCGCCAATTAATCACCCAAAAACTGGCAGTGAAGCTGGGTGCCAGTGGCTCACATCTGTAATCCCAGCTGCTCTGGAGGCTGAGATCTCAGAATCAGGGTTCAAAGCCACCTGGGGCAGGAAAGTCTGTGAGACTCTTATCTCCAATAAAAACCACCAAAAAATCAGAAGTGGTGCTGTGGCTCAAGTGGTAGAATGCTAGCCTTGAGCTGAAGAGCTCAGGGACAGTGCCTAGGCCCAGAGTTCGAGCCCCACAATCGACAATATATATATAGTCAGGAAACTTTAGTGAAATGAGTTAATCATTATCTTAGGAATAATAAAGGATTAAATGTAAAGCATTAGTAATAAGCCTGCATAAGTATTTATCAAATCGATACTCTGAGACTTTCCTTTTTATTAGATTTGAGCCTCATTGTAAGATTGTTTAGGCTTGGCATTTTTATTAAGGTGGATAGGTTGTATAGCAAAACATGGATATTTAGTCTACATGGTAGGGATATTGTTGTCTGCATGGTGGTATTCAACCATAATCCCAGCACTTAAGAAACTGAGGCAGAAGGATTGCAAGTTCAAGACCGATCTTGCCTGTGTTGGAGGTGTGATTTAGCTGCTAGCCAGTGAACTCAGCAAAAGCTGAGTTTGAGTTCTGGTCTCTGAAAAAAGCATTATTCTTTTTTTCTTTTTTCTCTTTTGGTCATGGGGCTTGAACTTGGCCCGAGTCCTGGTTCTGAGCTTTTTTTTTTTTTTTTTTTTTTTTGGTCGGTCGTGGGGCTTGAACTCTGGGCTTGGGCACTGTCCCTGTGCTCTTCAGCTCAAGGCCAGCGCTCTGCCGCTTGAGCCACAGCACCACTTCCGGGTTTTGGGGGGTGGGGGGAGGGAGGGTATTGGAGATAAGAATCTCATGAACTTTCCTGCCTGGGCTGGCTTTGAACCGCGATCCTCAGATCTCATCCTCCTTTCTTTTTTGGGGGGGGGGGGGGGTCCGGTCGTGGGGCCTGAACTCTGGGCCTGGGCGCTGTCCCTCAGCTCTTCAGCTCAAGGCTAGCACTCTACCACTTGAGCCACAGCGCCACTTCCAGCTTTTTTCTTATGTGGTGCTGAGGAATCGAACCCAGGGCCTCGAGCATGCAAGGCAAGTGCTCTACCACTGAGCCACCTTCCCAGCCCAGATCTCAGCCTCCTGAGTAGCTAGGATTACAGGCATGAGCCGCCAGCACCCGGCTATGGTTCTGAGCTTTTTTTGCTCAAAGCTAATGCTCCACCACTTTGAACCACTGCTTTACTTTAGTTTTCTGGTGGTTAATTAGAGGTAAGAGTATGCTCAGACTGGCTTTGAATCATGATGCTCACCTCTCAGCCTTCTGAGTAGCTAGGATTACAGGCATGTGCCACCAGCACCCAGCAAAAATTCTTTTTTTTTTTTTTTGTCGGTCGTGGGGCTTGAACTCTGGGCCTGGGCGCTGTCCCTCAGCTCTTCAGCTCAAGGCCAGCGCTCAACCACTTGAGCTACAGCGCCACTTCCGGTTTTCTGGTGGTTTATTGGAGATAGGAGTCTCACGGTCTTTCTTGCCCGGGCTGGCTTTGAACCGCGATCCTCAGATCTCAGCCTCCTGAGTAGCTAGGATTACAGGCGTGAGCCACCAGCGCCCGGCTCAGCAAAAATTCTTGACACGTGGACTTGGCTTCTTATTTTATGACTCAGTAAAAAATTAGACTTGTCTGAATCTGATTTGAAAACAAGCCTTTTCTTTTTCTTTCAGATTTCCACAAGACGGCCCCCTATGTGGTTACTGGCAGTGTAGATCAAACAGTAAAGGTGTGGGAGTGCCGTTGATTCAGTCTCATTTGGCCCCTCCTCCCTTTTTCCTCTGGATGCACTCTGATGATACCATGGTCCCCCATTGAGCTCTGTTTAAATAAATATTGTCCTTTCATGTAAATTATTCTGGATGTAGATTGAGCTTATTAAATGTTACACACAAAGTATTCATGCATGGTGAATCCAAATTGTATACTGTAAATTTACATACGTTGTCTAGAAGTACCATAGGGTTTAAAAACCTGGGCTGGCATTGGTCACACCAGGCCTACAAGGGCAGAAGTTGAATAAATTGAACTAGGGCACTAAACTGAATAGTTGACAGTGTCATTTATGTTGGATTATAATTCCTGTTTTTCTTTCTGCTATCTGTTGGTGCCTGACTTGATGGCCTCATTTGGGGGAAAAGTGGTGGTTATTAGGGCTTTTTCTGAAATGTGTATCTATGTAACATCACTTAAGTGTGCTTAATAAATCTAAAGATGTTAGATAATAAGAATTCTAAATCTGCAGAACCATCTATGTAATTTAATGGGGATTACACATTGGAATTTTTGTTATGACCCATTTGCCAAATCAATAGGATATGTTTGTTTTGGCGGCCTATCAAGCAAAGTATAGTGGTATATTTATGTAAGAAAATGATTGTAAATCTCAATAAGAAAAATCTCAGCAGCTAATAGCAAATCATTTCTTCCATTTGGATCTTAATGCTTTGTAAACAGGTTAATAACACTGTCATAGTCTAAGCTTCTATTTTCCACACTAGATCTGCTTCTAGTTGTATTCTCCATACTATTAGACTGTATAGTGATGTGACTTCCAAGTAGAATTTAATCTTCCCATTGAGTGTCATGGTATAAATCACTATTTGTTTATGATGTTTTTTAGGGATGTGCAATGTGCATTACATAATGACAAAAATATTGAAAAGGTTATGTTTGCCATTTTTAAAGGAGTGGGAGAAATACAGCAGTTTGTTTTTCAAAGTGAATCTGGTAACACTTCGACTATGTTTCTTTTGACAAGTTAAAAGACAGGGTTTAATGGAGTATGCATAAAAATGTACTGTTTTTCACCTTTTGTTTATATAGAAATGTTTGTAAGTGTATGGGCCTATCTAAAAGTGGATATGTCTGTATGTGTCTATCACACACAACCTCCATGTTCTCGGGTGTTGAGTTCTTGAAGAAGCTCTAAAACCATACAAGTAAAATGAATCTTGCTGTGGAATACCGTACCATGCTTTAGAACAACCCCTTTTTGACCCTAATGCTTCTGAAAAACAAGTCGGGGAGGAGGGGACGGACGTGTTTCCAGCCCAAGGAAAGCCACTTCCTTTGTCCCCTCTAATGGAGCCCTGGAGCATTTTACACATCCCCAATAAGAGTGTATATTTTGATCCAGAGTTACTACAAGTAGATTTAAGAGAATTTTTGCCCATGACTTTTGGAACACTATTCCGTTTATGTTCATTAATAAAGAATTCCATTGTTTAGCTAACCAACAGTTTTTTTTTTTAATGAAAGTCATTTGAAAAATTAACAGAAGCAATGAAATAACAGTGGCAGTTTAACAAAAGATACTTTTTTTCTGGATAGCATTTTATTCATTTTGTGTAATATGTGAATTTTTTAAGCCCCCTTTTATGTATTTAATGGAAATTTGATTCCTGGGAAAGACAAAGGGTGAGAGTTAATGTCCTGTACATACACACACAGAATAGGCAACCTATTAACTAGAAGCAGCTTACTGTCTACATTGTGTCTTTATGTTTGTTTGCTTGTTTGTTTTTAGTAATTCCTGAGAGTTGTCTCTGGAAGGGAAAGTGTTTTTGAGAAGTAATGGCTATTTTTGAGGACAAAAATTACATCTTAAGCTAGTTCCTTAAATTCAGTAGGTTAATATTCAGGACAATATTGCCTCGCAACCCTGCTTACATTGAGGAGTCTTTTCCCTCTGGCTGTTCTGACTAGATTTTTCTCCAAAAGCTATGGAAAATATCTTTGTTCTCGTTTGCTGCTATTTTCTGTCCTATTTCAAGAAATATAAATACATAGAAATGGTGCATCTTAACATTTGTTCATGTATAAATGTCCTTTAATTCCATTTTAGCATGTAGCAACATGAATCGTTTCAGGGTAAGCCACAACATCTAGAAATCCCTCACAGATGTAAACAATCAGAAGAGGGATGGTAGCAATGTGGAGGAACAAAGCTGCTCTCCACTGGGTTGCTTCCCCTGCAGCTTGAAGTGACTGTTAGTGATGAGGGAGGATAGTTCCTCTGTACAGTTACCCTTGCTTGAGAGATTGCCACAGCCTGCTGCTTAGATGAGTTACCAAACACCCTCCATTTAAGAAGCAGCGGCCATTGAATCTCAGGGATGGTCCACAACTGGATCCAAATGTGTAAGGAGCCCTGTTTGACTAGTGAAGTGGGGTGGGGGAGAGCAATCCATCCACCATCTGGAATCAGATTTGCAGTTTCCTGCCCTGTTGATGCCCTTTCTTTCTGTGTTCCCTCTCTGTCTGCTGTCTAACCTGTGCCTTGCCTGGGATGAGGACAATGATGAGGTTACTGGTTTGGATTGTAAGTAGAGGACTTTATTCGTTGATTTAGAGGTTCATTGCTGCTTTGTCACTTTCTCAATCAAATTGGCCATTAAGAAATAAAAAGCTGGTAGAATTGCATCCTCAGATGATTCTTGACTGTGTGTGTATGTGAGTGTGTGTGTGTGTGTGTGTGTGTGTGTGTGTGTGTACAAACACATTCCAGCACCACCCTAATTACAATATGCCCAAGAAGTCCTAGCTGCGTTCTGAGAACGTAAGCCATGGAAATGGGTGTACACATCGCTTGGAGAATAGTTGCTTTTGACATGGCATCTTGCACTTTAGGAGACTAAGACCGTCCTGTTTTGTCTGTGTGGTGTGACCAGTGGTGTCCCCAGAGCACTACCCAAAATCACTAGTGTTAGCAAGCTGCCCCGGGCTGTGGAGCACAGTAGTCCTTTGGAAGCTTTGGCTCTAGGCTCACCAAGCCCAGTCTCCTTCCTCACTGTCAGTGCCCTGCTCTCCTGTTTGCCTCTTTCTTTTTCTATGTGAACTTTCACATATCACTCATTAAATAGGCTTTTTTTTTTTTTTTTATTTAAAGAAAAACTATCCTAAAACAAAAGACCATTTTTGTTTGTTGGCAGTGGTGGCTTGATAATCCTTAAGCAACTGAAGTTGAAATGGAAGGAACAGGCACTTGAAGTGATGACTCTTTCTGTCCAGCTGTATATAAGTCTGACGTGCTCATCTAGATGATGCAAAGAATCTCCTGGTAGAGAAGCGATTTGTACAAGATTGGTGGGGAAAGTTTTGGGTTTTCTTTCCAGTGGGGTGGGTGGGGGGAGGAGGGCAAGCTGGATTTACAAGTCACGACTGGACTGGCCTGGCCTTTTTATCTTTCCACTTTATCATGTAAGTAGCTGCTTTCTTGTCGTGACTATCCTTCAGGCATCTCTAAAGCTCACTTCGAAGATGTTAGAGATACAAACACACAAATCTTCGAGTTAGCCATCAGTCCCGACAGACATGAAGGCCAGCACTGATTCCAAATGAACATTGCAGAGGTGGTAATTGGAGAAAACAGTTCCCAGATTGTAAGAGTTCACTGAAGATTATTGACACAATTAAAAAAAAATCAGTAAAGGAATGTATATAATACTGCTCTTGTGTTTTACAGTAAGATTTGTTGCTCTCAGACTGTGTAAAACAAAATTTATTCATGTTTTCTGCATATTAAAAATCTTATTGTACCAATTGGTAAACTATTAAATGCCTATAAAACTAGATGTGAATTTTTTTTTTATCTTGTGTACAGCTCATGTCTTGATTGAAAGTGACGCCTCATAGAGCAAGATTTCAGTTGATCTCAGAGCAGCAGAGTCTTGATGGAAGGCTTTTCTTGAGGACAGTGCCAAGCAGTGGCCTGTCTTTTTCCCTCTGGTTCAGAGGAAGCCTGGTGGGCCTGCACAGAACTACTGGACAGCTGTAGCTCTACAGCTAGAGCCAGCAGTGGTCTACGACAGCCCCCGCAAAGAGCTCAGAGATAAGGGCCTGCCCTCTTCTGTTAGTGAATGAGCCTCTTTGGATTCATGAAGATGCTTTATTATTTATTTTTAATTTTTTTGTCCACCATGGGGTCTGAACTCTGGGCCTGGGCAATGCCCCTCAGCTCTTCAGCTCAAGGCTAGCGTTCTATCACTTGAGCCACAACGCCACTTCTGGCTTTTTCTGCTTATGTAGTGCTGTGGAATCGAACCCAGGGCCTCATGCATGCAAGGCAAGCACTCTACCACTGAGCCACCTTTCCAGCCCGATGCTTGTATATTATTTTCAAAACAAGACATCTTTCATCCTTTCTCCAGACACTCCTGGCTCCCTCCCCATTTGGGCAGGTGATTGCCATGTCCTGGTTAGCCTGCATTCTTTCCAACTCATGTATAAACTACAGATGTTAAGTGGCTCTTTTCTTGCAGCCCAGCTATTTTCCTGATGCCTTTCCCCAGAAGGTAAGCTGGGCTCAGAGTGTCCTGTGTTTTGCATTTTTGCTGTTGACTTGTTGGGCTCTTTCCCCCCATCCAGGATTGAGATCCTGGTGTGAGGCCTGACCACTGTCCTGAGGGGTAGAGATCTAGCTGTAGTGTCACTATTGTGATAGTCAAGAAGCCTGTGCACAGCACACACTACACCACACGTCCCTCCAGGATGCATGGCCTTTTTTGTTCCTGGAGGAAGGTAAGAGAAATTAAAGGAATTCCAGAGGAAAGTACTGCATCTTGGTGCAGTTGCTTTCCCTGTTAGTCTGGTCAAGTACCAAAATCTCATAGGGCAACAGTTCTCAAGGTGTCCCCTACCCAGCAGCATCTGGTCCCCCTTAGGACCATTGAAACACTTTATTTAAAAGTTATTGCCACGTAAGCCATATTTGCTTAATTTTTCAAGTAGAGCTGTAGTCTCTCCGGGAGGGCTTGCTGGACCATGGTCCTATGTATGCTTCCCAGGTGGCTGAGGTTATAGGCGTGAGCCATCCCATCCAGCTTTATTTGTTGAGATAAAGATGTTGGCCTTAGCTGACCGGGAACCATAATCCTGTTTCAGCCTCTCAAGTACTGGAATTAAAATGGGCCGTTCACTGCCTGACTCCAGTTCTCAATTTTAACCTGCCTTCCAGATGCGCAAGCCTGACAAGAACTGCTTTTAGTATTCGGCTTTTCACCTAATAAATTTGACCCTAGGGTCCCATAAGCTGTGATTTGATCTGTCCTTTCTGCCTTTCCCGCTGACAGTTCATTCATCAGTGTTCCTATGGCAGTCTTTCCCACCTGGCCCTGTCCATGAACATGGACAATTAGTACAAGATAGCATTTTAAATACCTGCAAGATGGCCTCTCATCCTTGTGCCTACCATTTCACCACATCGCATCCCTGCTGCTCTGCCATTATGGGGTTGGGGCAAGTGATGGATAAACAAGAATAGTGCTGCCCAAACTTGCCCACCTCTTTCAATGTGACTCAGTATTTATTGTACCTTCAACAGTATGTATGTATCTGATTCCATTTTATTTTTTTGGTTCGGTTGTGGGGTCTGAACTCTGGGCCTGGGCGCTGTCCCTCAGCTCTTCAGCTCAAGGCTAGTGCTCTACCACTTGAGCCACAGCGCCACTTCCGGCTTTTTTCTTTTTGCTTATGTGGTGCTGAGGAATCGAACCCAGGGCCTCATGCATGCAAGGCAAGCGCTCTACCACTGTACCACTTTCCCAGCCCCTCTGATTCCACTTTTAAGTCAGTTTCACCCTACTAGTGGGGTGCTTTGCTTCACCTTTGAGGTTGCCCACCTGACGATGTGAACCCACATGGGGCTGAGGAAGTAGTCTGGGCACATCAGGGTATCTTCAGCTACAGGACATGTAAGGATTCCTCCACTAACTGATAGGAACAGCTTTGAGGATGCAAGTGGACAGGTGAAGCAGTCTTTAAAGTTTGTTAACTTGCATTGGGAATCAAATCTAAAGTCTTGTGGTAGGCAAGTGCTACCACTGAGCTGCATCACCAACTTACACTTTAAATTGAAGTCACATGCATGTTAAGAAAATCAAACTGGGCACTGGTGGCTTATGATTATAATTTTACTCAGGAGGCTGACATCTGTGAATTTCAGTTCAAAGCCAACCTGGGCAGAAAGTCCATGAGACTTACCTCCCTTGAAATCTGGAAGTAAAACTGTGGCACAAGTGTACAGCATTAACCTTGGTGTAGCAAGTGCTATAATAATGAAACCAAAGCCAGTCACAGCTTTAGATGACCTTGTTTGCAAGAGTGCCACCACAGTCCTGATGCAACAAAAGGCACTGGTACCTCTCCTTAGATGTCACTTCAAATGGTAAGGTCCCCAGTTGGCTCAGAAGCCAACCTAAAAAGGCTTCTAAAAGTGCACAAGGCCCTAAAGGCTAGCTAAGCGTACCACCCAATGAGCAACATCACCCTGTCTCCTTGTCCTTCCACAGCATCTGCCCTCAGGTCTTCCTGCGTGGGGCTCCTCCTCCAGGCTTTATTAGCCCTCTAGAGGTGGCTCTAAGATGGACGTAATCCATGCTCAACACCCACCTCCTGGCCAGGGCCACCCTATCTTCCTACAGCAAGCGAAAGGCAGTGCAAGTGCCCAGCTAGTCTAGTGACTGTACAGGACTGTCCGCCTGTGGGACAAGCCTGTGACACACACCCCCTCCCCCACTTGAGCTTTACCATCAGCGCAGCTTACAGAGCACACAGGTGAAGCTGGCATAGCAGGTTCCAAAAACTCACTTTATTCCAATGTGAAATGAAGACGTGATGGTTTAAAAACAAGAAAAAGTTCTTGATCAGCCATGGGGATGCCTCGCTTGCTAGCTCACACCCGCTCCCTTTGAAACAAGGTACCTGGACGGACCCTCCCCAGCAGCAGCCTGGGCCAGCCCCAGGTAGAGCCCCAGCCAGAGCAGCTTCCTTGGCTTGCAGGACAGTGCTCTCCTCCCCCGACAGCAGGCACAGGGAAGCAACACAGGCAGGCAGGAGGGGGAGCCAGGGCAATGGGGACCCCCACCACCCCAGAGCTAGTCTGTAGGTGCTTGTGTGGCAAGGGCCAGGTCAGGAGCTGGGCTCCACTGAGAGGTGACAATTACTTCTGGCAACAATCCCCAGACACCTTCCCCCCACCAATGTGCGTTAGGCAGCTTGGGTTAAAATGGGGAGGATACATTCAATTTAGACGGTGGCTCCCAAGGTTATCCCCACCTGGGGTGCAGGGAGGCAGGTTGGAGGGAGCCATGGCAGTGCCTCCTGCTGGGCCCAAGGATATCTGGGGGGTCTACAACCTCTTCCCCTCACCCTGACGGTTATGGCCAGGCCAGGCCCCATCCAGATTAGTAAAACCACCAGAGTTTTCACCTTGCCACCAGACTAAAGTGCATCCCAACTACCCAGCCCTGTCACTAGAGCTCAAGCTCCCCCTTCAAGACACAGGAAAGCCCCCCCCCCCATCTTTTTTTGGCTTAAACCTGAACTGCAAGCCAGGCTGGGCCCAGGGGTAGTGGCAGCAAAAGCAGCAGCCATAATGTCAAACATACAAATGACCTGAGAAGTGGCATCTGCACGTCATCCACTCAGCACTGACAAGGGCTATGTACAGGTTAGGAGGGGCAGACGGAGACATTCAGGACATGGACATACTCGCACACACCTGCCTGAGGGCGGGGTCTGAGGGGCGCCTGCCCCCCACTGATGCCCACACACTCCATTCACGTGTCTTCAACTAGGTCTCTGTATCGTGTATTCATTGAACCAGTGCAAAAACATCTTTGGGGGAGGGGGGACAGGCAGGCCAGGCTGGGGTCCCAGGAGAATGCTGGGGTGGGAGGGGTGGAACGTGGAAGAAGAGGGGCTGGCTTCCTCTCCGATCTGCAGGGCATGCCCCCTTTTCCTGGAGTCTGTCTGGATGGCTGGGTAACGGGGCCGGGACCGCTGACTGTCCATCTCCCTTTCTATCCTTGCAAGCTCAGGGAAGAAGGGTCCTTGGCAAGCTGGGGCTGGGTGCCCATGTCCTCTGGGGCTCCGGCTGTCTCGGGCTCAGTGGCCATGGGCTCCTCAGTCTTATCCCTATTTTTGCTGGCCTCCTGGAGCTGATGTCGCCGCGCCACCTCAGCCTTCAGATTCTCCAAGTCCTTTTGGCTGTGTGGAAGGAGAGGGGTGAAGGTCAGGGTAGCTGCCTGCTGGCGTTACACATACACTCGTGGCACAATCAACCTCTGTGCTTTATTGAGAAGTGGAACGTAGGTTTCCCTCCCAAAAGCAGAAAGGCTACAAAGTGCTAAAAAAAGTCGAAGCTCCATGTAACCAAGAGAGCTAGCAGCTAAGGCCTGGCTTGGCAACCAGGCGTCCTGCTATTAAGAGCAATGTCCTAAGTTTAAACCCTAGAACCACAGAAAATAGGACGGCACATCATGCACTGGAAGAACCAGAGGAAGAATGGAGCCACTTCTATCTATATATTGGATACAAAAAACAGGGTTGCTAAACAAGTGCTCTACTGCTTGAGCAATGTCCCAGCCCCAAGATACATGTTAAGTATATCATTTAACACAACTCCCAATACATGGTATGCCACAATCTTGCATTAAAAAGACTTGAGGGCTAGTGGCTCATACCTGTAATCCTAGCTACTTAGGAGGTTGAGATCTGAAGGTTATGGTTTGAAGTCAGCCTTGGCAGGAGAGTTTGTCAAACTAATTTTCAAGTAACCACCAAAAGGCCAAAAGTGAAGCTGTGGCTCTAGTGGAGAATGCTAGCCTTGAGCACAAAACCTCAGAGTCAGCACCCAGGTCATTAGTTCAAGCCCCAGGACAAGCACAAAGAGAGAGGGAGAGAGGCAGAGAGAAGGAAGGAAGGAAGGAAGGAAGGAAGGAAGGAAGGAAAAAAAGCGTAGCTATTCAGTTGCTGACATGCAATTTCTGGCAGGAGTCATGGGAACCTCTTTATCACTGCAAACACTTCACTTTAACTGCATCACTGGAAGTGACTTCAAAAAAAAACCAAAGCCAGGCCCCTGTGGCTCATGCCTGTCTATAATCCTAGCTACTCAGGAGGCTGAGATCTGAGGATCACAGTTCAAAGCCAGCCCAGGCAAGAAAGTCCACGAGACTCATTTCCAATTAACCACCAGAAAACAGGAAGTGAAGCTGTAGCACAAGTGGTAGAGTGCTGGCCTTGAGCACAAGTGCTCAGGGATAGTGACCAGGAGCTGAGTCCAAGCCTCATGACTGACCAAAAAAACAAAACAAAAAAAACAACCCCCAAACCACAAACCTAAAGGCCAATTGCCAATGGGGAGGGGTGGCAGGCTTCACCTGAGAGGAATGAACAGGATGCCATTGATGACATTGAGCTGCTCCAGGACACTGGCCATGCTGGGGGCTGTGAACTGAGTGAGAGGTGGGAAGATGGCTGGTGAGCACAGCCAAGAGGCCAGGGTAGGCACACCATCCCCATTAACCCACCCCCCCTGCCCCCCACTACCTTGAGGGGTGGGATGTTGGCACTGGAGCCATTGCGGTAGATCTCATTCATGGTGCGCTGCAGGGCCACAGCCTGCTGGGTCAGGCACTTGAGGTACTCAGAGCTTTCCTTGGTCTTTTCGTGGTCCTCACCCAGCTACAGGGGATAGGGGCCAATGCAGGAGGGGATCAGGGCCCCAGGCTATCCATGGGCCATAGGTCCAGCCTGCTGCCCACCATGCCCACCTGGGTCTTGTAGATGGTATAGCCTTCTTTCTCGTGCTGCAGGGCTGACCGGAACTCGGCTTTGCTCTCATAGACGCGGGCGACAAGGTGGTGGCTGAAAGGAGGCACAGCAGAGATGTGAGGGGCCTTCACAGACACTCAGGAGCCTTCACAGGGTGAAGAAGTCTGCCTGCCCCTCTCCCAGGGGCCTTCAGAAAGGAGCACACAGGGCCAGAGAGCAGAGAAGAGGCTGAGCTTGAAAGAACTTCCCTCCTAAGTCAGGTGCAGACAAGACAGCTTGGGTCCCTCCCTGGCTTCATCAAAAGCACATGGGGTGTCAGGGGTCTGGCCAGCGTGGCCTCACCTGAGGGCCACCTTGAGGGCCTTGGGCCCATGGTACTTGATGCTGACAGCCAGCGCGTTTTCCAGGAAGCGCAGCGACAGGTCGTACTCCATTACACCGTGCAACACCAGCCCTATGTTGTTCTGGGGGCAGGGCAGAAGGTGTGAGAACCAGGTCAGCTCCCACTTCCCTGGACCAAGGCTGGTCCCGGCTGCCCCGGGCCCCGGCACTCACATCCAGAAGTGCCATTTCAGGATGGTCCTCCCCGAACACAAGCAGCATGAGGTAGCGGGCGCGGTACAGCAGGCTCAAGGCGGTAGACAGCTGGCTGCTGGCAAAGCAGTACAGGGCCAGGTGCATCTGCGGGTGGGGCCATGGTGGTCAGGGCGGCTGTGGGCTCTGCCCCGTGCACCCCAGACCTAGGTGGCCACTCACGTATTCCTGGATGGTATTGGGGTGCTCGATGCCCATCACTCGCTCGCTCATCAGCACTGCCTTCTGTTGGTTACTCAGGGCCTGGGAAAGGGGATGTCAATCCCAAGTTGGCATTCCCTCACTCAAAAGCCCAGGCTGCCCCTGCCCATCCTGGTCCACCCCGGCCCTTCCATTCTTCCCGCAGCAGTGAGGACCACAACTAGCTGCTGTGATTGTGGAAGTCCGAGCCCCACTGAGACCTTCCAAAGCCCCTCAAACTCCATGCAAACACACACGCAAAGCTAAAGCTACACAGAAAATACATTTCTTAAATATTTTCTTTTAAGCTCATACCTACTCAAAGGATAAAACAGTTCTCTAAGGAGGGCTGGGGGCATAAATAAGGCACAGAGACCCCAGAAATAGTCTTTCAACGCCCAGGAGCCAGTGAGGCAGCCTGAACGCAAGACTGCAGATTTAAACAACTACTGCTAGGCAGCCATCCAGCACCACAGGGGCAAGGCCGGCTACCGGCCAGCGTAGTCACGGCTAGCCACAGGGACTCAGCATTCACCTCCCTGTGTCCCTCGAAGGGGAGACGCTGTTGTCCCCTTATCAGAGCACAGGCGGCTCCCTCACTCCCCCAGGCCGGCGCTATGGGGCAACTAAGAACAGGTGACCTTTGGGCTCCCTCTCTCCTCCACAGAACCCCAGCTGGCACCCTCTCTGCCGAAGTCCCACAGGCCTGGACGCTCCCGTCAGGCAGCAGGCCCCACAACCGGCGACGCAGCCAGGCGCTGCTGCCTACCCACCTCGGCATAGTCACCCATGATGTAGTGGAGGCGGGCCAGGAGGCGCAGGCAGGCGCAGATCTCCACGTGCATGGCCCCATACACGTTGTTGAACAGGTTCAGGGCTTCGTTGATGAGCTCGCAGCCCTCCTTTAGGAAGCCTGCAGAGCAGCAGTCCCGGGCAGCAAGGTCAGGGCTGGGTGAGAGGGGCCCCCGTGTCCCCCAGCCTGCCTGGCCACGCACCCTGCTGGACTTTGGCCTGCCCACTTTGGAAGAAGTGGAAGGCATCCGAGGCTTTGGGGTTGACGTGTTTGACCACAGGGAAGATGTTGAGCACGTCCTCCTCAGTGAAGGCAGGCTTGTGGCGGCTGTCGAAGCTGTACTCCTTCAGCAGGATCTGGGAACAGGACCCGCACCCACAAGCAGCCTCAGCCAGTGGCCTGGGCCAGGAGGGGCCCACAGAGCTGGGGCACGGCAGGAGACAGTGACCCACACCCACCTGGATTCCAGTCTTCAGGGAGATCTCCCGCAAGAGGGTTATCTTTTGCAGGCCATAGGTCTCCACAGCCTGGTCCACGGAATCACTGCAGGAGGAGCAGGGGCCCTGAGCAGCCCAGCACCCATGTCTGTCCCTCTGGAGCTCTGCCTCTCCATCTAACCCACGAGCCCGGCCCTTTGCCCTCCAGTGTTCAGAGCAAATGGCTCCCAGCCCTGCATCCCACCGCCAGTAGACCAAAAGGCTCCTCCCAGCTCTCCTCACTCGGCTGCCTACTGGTTATTCTGCCCTAGACGGCATCTGCGTGAGCAGCAGTGCTGCCTCCCATGCCTGACCCACTCCCCATGCCCCACGCCCATCACATCCTGTGTCCCCAGCATCCTATGCCCGCACCACTCGAGGTCAAAGTCGAAGTAATTCTTGGCCTCCTGACAGATATTCTTCCAGAGCTCCTGGGGGGTCATGACGGCCCAGGCAGTGTTATCCAAGGCCCCTGGAGGCCGGTTTTTCCTCCTCTTGTTCCTCTTCTTGGAGACCAGCTCATCGGCAGGCAGGTGGGCAACAGGGTTGGGGTAGGAGCTCAGGAAGCAGTTCAGGAAGTGACTGATGGCAGCTGAGAGGCCTGAGAGCTCAACTCCCTGAGAGGGAAGTTTAACCAGTCACAAGCGTCTTCGTTCCCAACCTAGAACTTTCCCCCCCAAAGCCCCTGCCACCCAGGAAGGCCCCTGACAGGCTGGGGAGGGGTGCTGGCACCTGTAAGTAGGTCTTGAAGATGTGCTTGGCGGAGCGTGTGATGAGCTCTCCAATACCAATTTTCTGAGGATTTAAACAAGTCTTGCTCAAGCGCCATGCTACCACCCTGGCCACCCCTCTCGCCTGGCCGAGCCCCACTCACATAGATGTGGTCCAGCTGGCTGCGGGCTGGGCTCCGCAGCACTAGGTCCAGCACCTTGCCCAGGTAGCGCATGTTGATGCCACGCTGGCGCATCACCTCAGCCAGTGTGGCTCCATCCATGGGCAGCACCGCGTGGTCTGTGCAGTCTTTCACCTGTGGGCTGAAGCAGGTCAAGGCCCAGCCCAGGCCCTGTGCCTCCACCCTGTCTCTTCCCAGGAAAGTCCTGTCCTAGCAACCTGTTTGGAGGCCCCAGCTCCCAGGCAGGAAGAAGAGACATAGTGGCAGAAGGCCACAAACCTGTCCTGGCCTTCCTGCAGCACAGAGAGTGGGGTAGCAGCCCTCCTCCCGGGAAGCTGGGCCCATGGCTCATGGGTGAAGAGCTGGGAGCCCTCGGGTGGCACAGGCTCTTCTCTGATCCCATGAGAAGCAGCACAGGCGGCTAGGTGGGGCCACAGCAGTACCCCACCTGAAGGTCTAGCCTTGAAGGCTCAACTGCCTGAACGGCTGCCTGGCTAGGAGGAAGCCAGTATGTCACCCAAAGACCAGAGACCAAGACTCCCAGCCTTAGCAGTACAACGCCTGTGCCCACACTTCCTCAGTCACACTTGGGGTCAGGATCCCCACGTGTAATGGGGATGGTCACTTGGCCAAACCTCCTCACAGGCCAGAAGACACTCAATCAAGCAGTTGCCCCCAAAAGTCCCACAGGTATCCAGAGACAAATGCAGGGGCCACCAGAGACCAAGGTAACCCTTCCCCCACCCCCTCCTTCAGCCCCTTCCTCACCAAGCCAGGGATCTGGCAGGAGAGCAAGAAGGCAGCAGCATCTTTTAGAAGTTGCTTCTGGTCCCGAACTTCGTCCTGGCAGGACTCAGGGAAGCGAACCCCTGGAGGAGAGTGGACAAGCTTGAACAAGGTAGCGGTAACAGTAGACAAATGCTCCCTAGAGCTTGTAGACCATGCTCAGCAAGCCAGCCAGTATTCATGGTCCCAAGTCCACCCCACAATGCTCTGCCCCTGCCCACAGGGCTCCGGATGCATGCTTGCCTGGTGAGAAGATATCAGGGTTGAAGCGAATGTCAAAGGCTGTGCTGCTGATGGACCCCACAGCCTTGCACGCATTGCGGATCACCTCTCGGCTCCGGGGGTCTGCTGTGGAAACAGCACAGTGGAGGTGGCAGTTCTGCTGCCTAAGTCTCTGCCCCTCCAGAATGGTCATGAGCCACACCTGGCAAAGACCAGCTGCCAGGGAAGCTCAGGCTCTCCAACATGCACAGCAGACCCACCTGTACCATCATCTGAGGCGATCGTCTCTGCCAGCTCCTTCACCTTGGCCAGGCCACTAGCACCACTGCCCTCCTCCTCGCTTCCTGCCTCAGGTCCCAGAGGGTCTTCAGGCTTGGACTCTGAGGCAGGCCCACCATTTTCCAGGGAGGTGGGGTTTTCCATCTTGGCCTTTTGCTGCATCAGCTGCAGGGCAGCCAGCTTCATGAAGAGGAGGTATCTAGAGCACAGCAGAAAGGTCAGCGCAAGAGGAGGGCAAGGGACATCTGAAAAGTGATGGCCTGACAGCATCCTGCTGGCCACAAGGTCCAGAGTACAGCCTCAGGCTCCTGGCCCACAGGAGCTAGGGGACACCCTGAAGGCACAGGGACATATCCTAGCCAGTGTATGCATGTAACTACAGGCAGGCTTATGCCAGCCCACCAGGGACAAGACAGCACCACAGCAAAACCAAGCTCAAGATGGGTGTGGTGGCTTACACCTTAATCCCAGGATTTGGAAAACAAGGCAGGAGAATTGTGAGGGTAAACAAATCATGGATGGGCTAATGATAGGCTTCAGACCAGGGCCTTCAACAATACAAGAATGGAGGGCTGGGAAGGTGGCTCAGTGGTAGAGCGCTTGCCTTGCATGCCTGAGGCCCTGGGTTCGATTCCTCAGCACCACATAAGAAAAAAGAAAAAAGCCAGAAGAGGCGCTGTGGCTCAAGTGGTAGAGCACTAGCCTTGATCTGAAGAGCTGAGGGACAGCGCCCAGGCCCAGAGTTCAGGCCCCACGATTGGACCCCCCCCCCAAAAAAAAAAAACAAAAAAAAACCAAGAATGGAGAAATAGTTGGTCACTGTGTAGGAAATGCTATGGCCACATCCTAAGCACCCAATACCAGCAGCATCTACGCCCTGAGCCCTACCTCCCAGCCTTGGCAGCTGCATTCAAAATCATTCACTTCACTGAGTGGCTGGTCTGGCCACTTGCTAGTCTGCAACCGACATAAAGCTCCTAGGTTTCTGCATCTGGCAATCTGAGGCAGATGTGACAGGATGGGTCCTCACAGAGCAGCCCGAGGGGGCAGCAGCAGCTCCTTACCTGTGCTCCACGAAGGCATCCACCAGCTCCTGCCGCAGGCAGCACAGCTTGTGCCTGTGGGCCCGGGGGAAGCCAGCGCGGCTGCACTCCTCAGGCAGCTCCTCACCAGGCACAGGCAGAAAGTTGAGGTCCGGCGGGAAGGTGCGCAGAAGGTCAAGGATGTAGTGGCGCCCGTCATTGCCAATAATCCCCTTGCACTCCACGGAAGAACAGAGCTCTACCTCCTCGTCCCGCTCGTTGAGCACCCGGTGCCGCAGGATCTTGAGGGGCCGGCTGGTGCGCTCTAGCAGCTCCAGGTACCGCGGGTGTGACACCACTGTCTTGCCAAAGTCAATGGAGCCATAGATGACACTCTGCTCCTGGTCCCGCTCCAGGATGCCAGGGATGATGGACTGAGCTGTGACTCGGTAGCCACGGTAGTCCACCACCACCGTGCCCAGCGTGTACAGTCCCTCCACATCCACTGCATTGTATGTGCGCACGCCATTCAGGTCATTAGTGGGGGCCACGTAGGCTGCCACATCCCCCCCAAAGTCTTTGTAGTGGTCACGCACGTCAAAGCCCAGGCTGAAGAAGATGTTGTTCCAGATGAACATCTGCATCTTGGTCTCCTCACTGGGGTTGATAGCCATCACGTTGCCATCAATGACTGCCATGGCGCCCCGGGTGGCTGCGGCCGTGAAGTCACTGTGCACCTGGGAGGGGCCGAGGGTGGAAGGGTGAAGGCTCCACACACAAAAGCTTTAAGGAGCATCCTGCCCTGGCCCAGCTCACCTAGATGGGGGAGGGTGGCAGGCCTCCCCTGAGAGCCAAGAAACCCTAGCCTCAACTACATCATTTAGGAAAGGCAAGAAAGGCAAGAACATTTCAGAACTAGACGGTGGCTCCAAAGCCAGCCTTGGCAGGAAAGTCTGTAAGACTCCAATTAACTACCAAAAAGCCAGAAGTAGAGCTGTGGTTCAAGTGCTAGAGCGCTAGCCTTGTGCAAAAAAGCTCAGGGACAACACTCTGGCCCTGAGTTCAAGCCCCAAGACACACAAACACACTTGTACATACAACTAAACACTCCTACTTAGAAAGCCAAGCTTAGCAGTTAACAAGGGACGTGAGTGAGGGCTGGCTGGTTTGGGAGCCACCAGCTAGGTACCAGGTAAAGTAAGGCAAGAAGCTCTGGCCCACTTTTGGCATCCAGAAACTACTGACAACAAATGTACTGAATCGACCCTATAAAGCACTTGGCATGACCCCTGGGCCAAGTTAGTACCCAAGAAATGATAGCTTTTATTCTCGTAAGTTATTTCTCCTCATTTCTAAGAAGAGTACTGACAATTGTTAATAAACCTACATAAGCTGTAAGTGCTATGCAAACATACTAGACCCAGAAAGATGAGGGCCCAACATGTACCCAGGCAAGGACCTGTGCAGTTAACAGAGGGCAGGGAGCCGGTGGATCTTGCTATTCGTTCATTTATTTGTATATGTGTGTGCCAGTATTGGAGCTTGAACTCATAGCCTTAAGCCCTTACTTAGCATTTTTGTTCACCATCTGAGCTACATCTCAACTTCTGGATTTTTGGTGGTTAATTGGAAATGAGAGTCCCATGGGCTTTTGTGACCCAGCTAGCTTTGAACCTCACTCTGCAGATCTCAACCTCCTGAGTAGCTAGGATTATAGGCATGAACCATCAGTACCTAGCTTCCTACCTTTAAAAAGCCTCAAACAAGACACAAAAAAAGGAGTTGCTAGGAGGCAAGAGGCTAGGGACACCGTGCCTTCAGGGCAGCTGACAAGTCTGGCCATCCCAGCTACTCTCCAATTCCTTCTGTCTACAAGACCAGCCAGCATGGGCTGGGAATGTGGCTTAGTGGAAGAGTGTTTGCCTAGCATGCATGAAGCCCTGAGTTCGATTCCTCAGTACTACATAAACAGTACTACATAAAAGTGGTGGTAGAGTGCTAGCCTTGAGCAAAAAGAAGCTCAAGGACAGTGCCTAGGCCCTGAGTTCAAGCCCAAGATTGGCAAAAAGGAGAGAGAGAGAGAGAGAGAGAGAGAGAGAGAGAGAGAGAGAGAAAAGAAAAAAGAAAAGAAAGAAAAAAGACCAGCTAGCCAAGCGGCAGGAGAGCCTGAAACTGCCAACAGGTCCCAAGGGGCTACGCACCTTAAATATGGCTCTTTCTCGAAGCAGCCGCTCAGGCAAGTTCTTGCGGGGTAGCTCCCTTGTCGTCTGCAGTTCCTCATTCCAGTCCCGGGTCTGTAGAGGGACCAGAAAAGCAGTGTGAGCTCAGCCTGTGTCTGGACCTGTTCTGGGCAGCCCCACCATCCTCCTTCCCTGTGGACAGCCTAAGCAGATGGCATGTCCTGAGTGGCCCCAGGCAAGCAGAGGGGGCAGGCTGGTAGCACCTGTCCAGGAATGTGCTCCTCATAGCCCAGCCTGGATGTGTAGGCATCTTCGGCACGCACACAGTCCATGGCGTGTTCCGCCTGGGGGGCCGTCCAGCTGTACACCTGGAACGGGGTGGCGATCCTCTCGAACGGGTGGCGCTGTACCCTGTAGTGGGCAGGGGAAAGGAGATGGGGCACCCCACCAAGCTAAAAACCCAGCTGAGTCCTTCCTTCTCCAAGGCTCCTACTGCTCCAGCATCTTCCAGCCCTGGGATTCCACTTGTGCAGAAGCAGGCAGGCACCTCTCTCATGGGCCACCCTCATACAGCACCTTCCAGGCAAAGGCACTGGTGCTCACGCCTACTGGAACAGGCACACACGACTTGCGTGACGGGAAGCGGGGCAGAGGGTATGAAGGTACTACCTCTTCTTCTGTAGCACAGCGAAGTTTTTCTTGAAGGTTGGGCTGATCTGGTTGAGCAGCTCCACTAGGGAATGGCTGAGGAAGCGGGGACTGGCAGGCTTGGGGTTGAAGTGGTAGGCGGTGGACCTGCAGAGGAAGAGGTCACTACGGAGCTGTCCAAAGCATCGACATCAAGACTAGGAAATGGAAGGGGATAGCAGGGACTCACTGGTTCAGGTAGAAGCCCCGTGTGGATGCAGTGATGCTGACTTGCCGGTCCTCAGCCGTGATCACAAACAGGTACATGAGGTCCCCATGCATCTTGCGGTTCCCAGGGGGCGGGTTCCAGCCACTCATGGTGAGTACTTTCAGACACTGCAGAGGCTGCAGGAATGGTCAAGCATGAAGGCATCAGAGCTTTGGGGCCCTCCCACCAGGGGGCCTTCTTTTTCACTCCCTCTGAGAAACCCACCTTCCAGTCACGGTTCTGGGGCTGCAAGGGACACAATGGCCGCTCCCGGCTCCCTGGCAGGATGTACTCAGGTGGCGTGCAGTCGATGGGGTCCATCTCCAAGCCCTTCTTCCGCTTCCCACTGTCTGAGAGATCCAAAGCTGGTGGTCAGCCAGTGTCCCCTACTCACTATGGTCCTCAAGCCCAGCGCTTAAGTGGGACAACCTGGATTTCAGTCCCTTTGCTAGTCTCTGGTTTCCTTGTTCCCTGCCCCCTGCCCAACCCCCAGCACCAATGCCTCCTGCACCTCCCAGGTCGCCGTCAGTGAAGACACTCAGGAAAGACAAGGAGTTGCAGTCAACCCCATTGAAGGCATCAGATGGATCCAAGCTCTTGAGCAGGTCTCGAACATGGCGCACATGGATGCGGGCCTCACGCACAGTGTACGGCTCTGTGAGGAGGGGAGTACGGGGTCATTAGAGCCCTGTGGGGAATCACAGGGTCACAGAGGAGTTTGCACAGGTGAACCATCACAGGTGCAATCATGAATGGGCTTTTATTCTTTTTCCAATACTGGGGGTGGAATGCAGGGCCAGTACATGCTAGGCCAGTGCTCTACCACTGAGCCTCATCCCTAGCCTTTGGAGATTCAAAATTTCAACTTAAAGGGGCTGGGAAGGTGGCTCAGTGGTAGAGCGCTTGCCTTGCATGCCTGACTGAGGCCCTGGGTTCGATCCTCAGCACCACATAAGCAAAAAGAAAAAAGCCGGAAGTAGCGCTGTGGCTCAAGTGGTAGAGCGCTAGCCTTGAGCTGAAGAGCAGAGGGACAGTGCCCAGGCCCAGAGTTCAGGCCCCATGACCGGACCCAAAAACAAAACAAAACAAAAAAAAATTTTCAACTTAAAGCTCCCATTTGAGTGGCATTTTGCCATTACAAGCGGCTCAGACTTGAAATCCTATCTACTCAGAAGGCTGAGACCCAGACGATCGAACTTTGAAACCAGCCCTGGCAGGAAAGTTCAGAAGACTTCATTTCCAATTAACCAGAAAAATGCTGGACTTGGAGGTATGGCTCAAATGGTAGAATGTAAGGAGTGAGCAAGAAAGCCAAGTAAAAGCAGGATAGTGGTGACTCACACCAGTAATCCTAGCTGCTCAGGAGGCTGAGATCTGAGGATCAAAGTTCAAAGCCAGCCAGGGCAGGAAAGTCCATGAGACTCATCTCCAATTAACCACCAGTAAACTGGTAGTGCTGTGGCTCAAAGTGGTAGAACACTAGCCTTGAGCAAAAGAGCTCAGGGATAGGCCTTGAGTTCAAGCCCCACAACCAAAAAAAAAAAGAAAGAAAGAAAAGAAAAAGAAAGCCAAGTGAAGTTGGGCACTGGGTGGTTCATACTTGTAATCCTAACTACTGAGATCTGAGGACTGCAGTTCAAAGCCAGCCCAGGAAGGGAAGTTCTTAAGACTCTTCTCTCCAATTAACCACAAAAAGCTGAAAGTAGAGCTCTATGGCTCAAGTGGTAAAGCACTAGCCTTGAGCACAAATAAGCACAGGGACAGTACCCAGGCCCTTAATTCAAGATCCAGTCCTAGCAAAAAGCAAACCAAATCAATTCATAGGCACTGGAAACCTCTGTGCAGCATTAGAACTTGACAAGCAAACCAGTCTCACTACTCTAGAGCGAATGGCCACTCAAGAGCTGTGAAACTTTATGAGACTTCACATTTATCTTTATAAAACATGACAGAACTGACTCCAAACAGAGTCTGTGTGGGACTGGCTGGGGTTTTAGAATGCAGACTCTAGTCTTTAACCTGTGGGCCATGTGCATTAGAAGTGGTCCACTGCAATAGAGGCTTACAATGGCCTGTGCTCCAGTCCCATGCCCACATGCTCACGTGTGACAGACACTAGCAGCAGTGGGTGGAGTGGTGATTGCCCTTCTTCACAGGTCCTTCCCTTCCAGGCTGCCAACTCCCAGACCAACCTTCTACCACACGGAGCACTGAGCCCTCCTGTAGTCCTTCAACACTTCGAAGCTCTGAAAAGTGGTCTAGCATATTGCCATCCAGATGTAGGGAAAAGCAGGTGCGGTGACACGTATCTTCACGGTCCATGAGCACCTGGTGGATCTCCTGTACCATCTCCTGGGGAGACACCTGCCACAGAGAAGGCCCCATCCACCCAGTGAGATGTCACATCATCATCACCAGACCAAAACATCTAGGTCTCTGGAATAAATGCCTCAAATACTCAGTTTCCCACAGTTTGGCTTCTAAATTCCAGACTCTGTCCATAGATACTATGTCTACGTGTGTGTGTGTGTGTGTGTGTGTGTGTGTGTGTGTCTTTGTCTATCTATTCATGTGTCCCTGCCTACAAAGAGTTTGAAGCCTGGCCATACTGCCTCAGGCTTGAACTATTACTATAGACAAATAACCTGAGCAGTACCATGGGGATGGAAGAACAGGAAGAGCAACACTAAGGCACCTAGGGCAAATGGCCTCCAGCTTTTAGAGTGCTCTAAGGTCTGAGCCTGTGGGTAGAGAGGACATAAGAGAACCTGTCTTAGATCCCTGGAGTTACCAGTGTGTAAAATCTCCAGTTAATTCTACTCTTGGAGACCATCCAACATCATCCACCCTCAAGGAGATGGTAAACCCATGGCTCAGAGAGAAGACTCACCAGAGGGCACAGGGCAAGGAACTAGAGAGTGTTAGAACATCACCCCCTCCTCCCCAGCCTATGCCACTACTCTGCCCAAATGGCACTGGAAGTCCCTACTGGTAGCTGTCCACTAGCAATGGCACAGCAACATGATCCTGAGCTGATTTCCTTGCCCACCACACCAAAACCCCAGGCAAGACCCAGTAAGCACCCTTAGCTTCCTGCCAGAATGATCAAGGGCAGGACTTGGCTTTCTAGCCCCCTCTACCCCTAGCCAGCTCAATTCTGCTCCCTATCACCTCTTCCTCCATCTTACCTGGAGGGAGAAGGGCTCAATGCCAGGGGCCAGGATCTTCACAGAAAAGCCTGTGTCCTGAATGACAATGACTTCCTGTCCAGTGGTCTCATCTCCTGGCTCACCTTCATCCAGCCCATTTTCCCTGGGCGGCTCAGTCACCCCCTCCTCCTTCTTCAGGCTCTCTGGGCAGTCTCCATTCACCAGCATAACGGAGGGGGGTTCTAGGGTTACAAGAATGCAGTCAGATAGGCCTGGAGGAGTGGGTGGGGCTACCCACCTCACCCTGTAGAATGGGGCCTTTTATGCCTTCTGGAGACTCAGCCCTAATCCAGACTCCATACCATCCAGCCCTGCACACCTATAGGCCATTGCCTTTTCCCTCCCCATTGCTTATCCTCAGCCTACCAGTCTGAGTACATCTCCCCAGGGTCACAATGCCACATGTAGGGTCAAGGTCACCAGCCTTCTCCAGCTCTAACGATCTAGCTTTTTAGCAGTAATCATACTACTGCCCACTTCCTCCTCTTCTCTGCCCAACACCACTACTATCCCTTCCTCCAGTTTCATCCTCTTCGCATGTAGATAGGCTATATTCCTTTCTCACCTTACCTGTTCCCATGGCCTCAAATATGATCTACATGGAAGCATCCATTGCCAATCATAGCCTTGCTCAAGCGTTTCAAAGGGGACAACTACCACCCAGTTCCTTAGACATTAACAAAAGCTCATCCTGCCAAGATGAGCCTATTCTGTGAAGTCTTCCCCTACCCCCCACCAACTAGTCACTCATCCTGACCCTTGGGCTCCAGCCTCTTCAGCCATAGCCTTGGTACAGATTTTCTCTAACTTCAAGAGTAACATGTGGGGCTGGGAATGTGGCTCAATGGTACAGTGCTTGCCTTGCATGCATAAAGCCCTGGGTTCGATTCCTCAGCACCACATACAGAGAAAAAGCCAGAAGTGACGCTGTGGCTGAAGTGGTAGAGTGCTAACTTTGAGCAAAAAGATCAGGGACAGTCCTCAGGCCCGTAGGCCCAGAGTTCAAACCCCAGGACTGGCCAAAAATAATTAATTAATTAATTAGGGAGTAACGTGGAGAAAGACACAGGTGGCTCATACCTATAATCCTAGCTACTCAGGAGGCTGAGATGGAGGATGGCAGTTCAAAGCTAGCAAGGAAAGGAAAGTCCATGAGACTCTTATCTCCAATTAGCGCCCAGAAAACTGGAAGTTGAGTTGTGGATCAAAATGGTAGAGAGCTAACCTTGAGCAGAAAAGCTTCAGGGACAGTGCCCAGGTCCTGAGTTCAAGTCCCATAACTGACAAGGAGAAAGTAACATTTGGAGCCCTTCTAACAACCCCACTGTCACAAATTTAGGACAGCACTCTTGAGTTTCTATCTAAAGTCAGTCTCAGCTCTGCAGGCTTCCCTCTGTACTTTGACTTATGCCTCCCCTGCTAACCTTTCTACTGCTCTACTGAACCATACAATTGCTCTACATATCATTCTGTCCTCTGTTAGCATCAGTTTTCTATCACCTCTGCTGTGGACTGTTTCATACCCCAATAAGTATTCCATCATTCCGGGCAGACCATCCCATTGCCCACAAGATACCATTCCATGAACAACTTCAACTCATCCTTGCAGGTGAGCTGAATACAGAGCCTCCTGTCAGAAAGCCGCCCAAATGACCCGGCTGGAAGGAACTCCCCAACCATTTCCACAAGACATGCACTGCCTCCTAGAGCAGCCATTCTGCTGCATTCTGGGTGGCTATTTACACCAGCAGTTCTATCATTATCCACCTTTTGTCTTGCCCTGCCTCAAAGAAAAGATATCAAATCAATGAATTACTGCAAATCCATAGCCACATCTAGTATTTGTGAAGAACACTCAACTTACATGCTGTGGGGAGAGGGAACAGTAACAAAACTTCCCATTTCTCCCCAGGCACTAGGAAGAATGAAGGAAGAAGGCCCCTATAGTACTGGCTAGAGCATAAGACCCCCTCTCAGAAAGCCAGCTAAATACCAGCTTGCTGGGTACCCATTTGGCAAATGAGGACCTTGGCCCAGCATCTGCCTACTTGCCCTCTTGGCTTAGAACATTACAGTCCCAGATCAGGGTATAGATAGGCTACCTCAAAACAACACAGCTTACTTGAGTCTGCTTTAGTCAATCTAGCCCTCTTTCCTACTCTGCCATCAAGAGTAGAGATGGCACGGCTGCAATTGTAGCTACTTAGGAGGCTGAGATCTAAGAGTGGTTTGAAGCCAGCCCAAGTAGCAAAGTCTGTGAGACTCTTAGCTCCAATAAACTACTCAGAAAAATCTGGAAGTGGTGCTGTGGCTCAAGTGGTAGAATGCTAGCCTTGAGCACAAAGAGGCTCAGGAACAGTGCCAAGTCCCTGAATTCAAGCACCAGGACTGGTGAGGGGCGGGAGCAGGGTGAGGTGGGGTGGAGAGCAGGATGGCTTTACTGCCTCAAACCTGTATAGTCTCTGTTCATAAATATGGAGCAGGAATCTAAGGAAATGAGGTTGGCCAGCAGAGGCAGGCAAGAGGACTTCAGGAGACACCCCCCCTCCCCTTCCTGGTACACCTCAACTTGGTGATAAGTAGGACCTCCAGGGGCACAGACAGGCCTTATTCTCTTATCCCAAATTAGGCCCAGGAAAACTTAAGAGCCTGACATATTGTTATACCAGCCAGGATGGACCTCAGATTCCCGCAGCCTACAAACTCACATCACTGCCTTGTCATCAACCTTGGCTACTGTAGGCCACCAATGATGGTGTCCTAGACCTTCTGTCCCTGCCACACTCTTTCTAAAACTGGAGTATAACCTCCAACAACCATAGGGTGGGCTAGGCATGGTAGCACACACCTGAATTCCAGTACTTGGAAGAGGATCAAAGGTTCAAGGCCAACCTAAACTACATAGTAAGTTCCAGGCCAGCCTGGACTACATAGTAAAATCCTGTGTCAATACAACAACAAAGCTGGGCGCTGGTGGCTCATGTCTGTAATACTAGCTACTCAGGAGGCTGAAATTTGAGGATCACAATTCAAAGCCAGCCCAGGCAGTAAAGTCCATGAGACTCTTATCCCCAATAAACTACTCAGAAACCCAAAAGTGGCACTGTGGTTTAAGTGATAGAGCACTAGTCTTGAGCTGAAGAGCTCAGGGACAGCACCCAGGCCGAGTTCAAGCCCCACAACCGACTGAAAAAAAAAAAAAAAACTACAAGATGCGCAAGATGCACCAAGGCCTATCCCTTGCAGTGGCCCAGCAGTCCCAGGCAGGGCAAGCCCTAAAAATAAACAGCCCTACCCCAAAATGAAAACTTGCCTGGCACTAATGACAAAGCACAGATAAGAGGGCAGGAATTGGTCAGCTCTCCAAGAGCAGCAAGAGGGACAGTAGGTAGGAGGAGCTGTCCCCTAAGGGTCCCTGAGAAAGGCTTTGCTGGCTGGCAAGAACCCAGATTGAAGGGAAAACAGGAAAGGCCCCCACCCAACATGGAGCAGTGGTTTCGAGCTTTGCAGTCTCAGAGAAGGAAAATGTCAGCACTGGACCCAGAGTAGCAACCTGTGCATCTTGCCGGGAAGGGGGGGGGGGGGGGGGGGGAGGAAGAGAGTGTGCACGAATGGGTGGATCAGAGAAAGGAGAGGAAGACAACACACTGCCATGGTTCCAACCTACCCATTCCCCAAGCCAGAGACCTCATCAGGGACTGAGAAAGAGTACCTAATCCTTGGTCAGATTCCAAGATAAAGGGCTGGTCCCAAGGGCTGCTTCTCCTTCAGTGCTGCCAGCCCTGCCCCTCCTCTCCATTCCCAAAGGGTCCTGAAGGTCTCCCTGTAGACCAGTAGGTCCACTCAGCCCCAAAGCCCACCTGGTGTGCACAACGGCTGTGCTCTTCTTGGCTCTGGAGTCTCAGGACTTTCATGAGAAGGGACCCAGCTCTCCGGCCTAGGCCCAATGCTGCCTGTGTCTCTTGTTCCGGCCTCTGCTGTTACCCTTGCCCTAATGCAGCTGGTCGGCCCAGGGCTGGAGCTCCGGCTGGCTTCGGGTTTCAGTGGGGCCAGGCCTGCCTGGGCGGCCCTGGGAAGGGCACACTCCCCCTGCCTCTGCCTTGAATCCTGCTCAAGGTCGGCTAGAAGGACGGCTGTGGAACAGGAGGCCTCCGTGGCTCCAGAACCATGGGGGGAGCTTCGATCAACACTCAGAACCACCTCCTCAGGCTCCCCAGAAAGAAGGCCATTGCTGATGAAGCTGTCTGGGGAGCAGATCCCAGCATGTGGGGTACCTGGACCCCTCAGGATCGAGGGTCTTGGGAAATGGCTGGCAGGGGCAGAGTCCAGCAAGGGGGTCCTCTCCTCGGCTCCAACCCTGGCGGGGGGTTCAACCAGCTTCAACCAGCTGCCGGCAACAGCTGGCGCAGATCCGGGCCCAGGCCATGAGGTATCCACCTCCTATCCACCAGTCTCGGACACGGAGCACCCTGCCTGTCTCCTGGGCCAAGGGACTCGCTGGGGCCTCTGGCTCCTACTGCCCTCTGCAGGTGACTTGGCAGCCAGCCCCTTTCTGACACTCACTGGTTCTAGTGAGAGGGGGATGGGACACCAGTCTCCCAGAGGACAACTGCACCCATGCCCCAGGCCTCCAAGCTCCACCAAGAAACTGGCAGGCTCCCTCTTTTCTTCCCAGCAGCCCATGCGCTGCCAAGAGAAAACCAAATGTCTCCCCTGGGGAAAACAGAGCTGGCAGCAAGAGGCCGAAGGCCATTGGAGAAGGAGCATGCCCAGCCTCGCCAGGACGCCTTCTCAGGGCCTCTGACTTGTTGCCAGGGCCCAGTCAGGACTGCTCCGGCATCCATACTAACCAGCATGGGGCATGGAGCCAGGATCTTTCTCCAGGCACCTTCTCCTTCAGGCCTAGGGACCACTGAGCAGACCCTTGGCTTTGCCTCCACTGCACAAAATGTCCTGGGTCTGTCTCAATGAGCAGATGACAAGAAAGGCCAGACTCATAGGAAAATTCCATTCCTCTTAGCCCTCTAGAGGATGGGAATGGGGAAGCCTGGTACTGACCCCCACAGCAGGGTTCTAAATCAGATCCACCAGGTCATCTCACTCCAGAAAAATGAAGTTCCACAAGGCTAGCTGTCCGAAGTCAGAGGCAAAAGGCAACAAAGTCAAATTGAGAAAAAGCCAGGAATGTCAGCAGTGTAGACCATGCTCCTGAATGCCACTTCTACTGAGCACAACCCACTGGACACAGATCTATCTCTAGCAATAGAGTTCCTAGGCCTCAAGACCCCTGTGCCTGTTTCCCCCATTACATCCCAGGAAGGCATGGAGAACCAGGGTTTCAGAGAAGGCAAGAGAAGCCAGTTCTCTGCTGAATATGAACACATTGTACAAATGATACATGGTGCACAAGCCAGCTCACTGCACTCACAGCCACCACAAACCTTAATTGGACTGATCAGAGTGAAGAGATAGCATACCCAGAGTCCTAGCCTGGGACAGGGATGCCACAGATAAGAGTAAGAAAGAGTCTCAGGCCACCCCAAGTGACCCATGTACCTCTAGCCAGGCCTGGTCTCCCTCAGGAGCCAGTACCAGGGTCAGGACACATCCCAGCCTAGGTCTCAGCAGGTGAGGCTACAGCAGGAAGTAGGGTCCCAAAAGAGACTCGGCCACTATCTCAGAAACTCAGGGCTTCAAGGCAAAGGGGTAGAAAACAGGCAGGCAGCCTATGGAGGACTCTGGGGAGGCCAGAACCTGTTTGTCTCCTTTCAGTCCCACCCAGGCCAGGAGATCTTGAAGGTCCAAATTGTGTTCAGAAGTTCCCAATGCAGTCTGCCTAGACCTTATCCAAGAGTCAGGATCTTTTGGGAGCTTGGTAAGCCCCTTAACTCCTCCCCATTCTGCCAGTCCCCCTTTCCTCCCACTTCAGGGCTTCAACTCCAGAGGGCCCTCCCCCAAGGAGAAGGAACTCCACACACCACTGTGAACTTGAAAAACCTGCCTGTTCTCTTAACCCCTAAAAGCTGCTTTATTTCTAAGAAGGTAAACTACCCTTGCCTGCTTCCAAGGCCATGATCACTTCCTCAAGGTACAAGATGGGACCTCAGGCCAAGTAGCCTGGATTCTGATGCCCAAATGGAGCTTGCTCAAGGTCCCTAATAAGGTTCCTTTTAACAGATCCAGGCTGGATGTAATATGAGGCACAATTGTCTATACTAGCTTCTGGGACAAAGAAGCCAAAGTCCTAACCAATACACTGCCCCCAAGTTCCCCAAGCTGTGCCCTTCCACTGCCCCCCAAAAAGATGAAAAGAAAACTTCACTCACTCTCTCACAGAAATCCTCCAACACTCTCTTTCTTCAGTCCCCTGGTTCTCAGCACACAAATCCAAATAAACACGTAATGTGTGTTCCAGCTTCCTCTGGGTCAGGCTTTGGTAGCCTTGACATGCTGACCATGAGCTAGAAATCTACATGTTCCCCTCCACAACTAATAGCTGTGACCTTGGACAAGTCACTTCATCTCTCCATCTCTTTGCTGGAAGGGAAACCTGCCAGCCCAGAACTCTTCTTATCTTGTCCACCCACTGATTCAGAACCATATCAGGGCAAAGCCTGATAGAATGGAGTTTTGAGCATTTCTTCTGTTCAGACCTGGCCTTGTCAAAGCAATCAGCAAGGCTGACACTGAACCTGCTCCTACCCAATGCTTTTCCACCCAGACTCCCGGCAGCCCCAGACTGCTTAATGAAGCTGGGAAGGGAGGTGATGATGATGAGCTAAGATTACAAGTCCTCACTGAGATAAGGGTGGGTCTCCACTCCCATTACCACTCAGGGCAGAGAAGGCCACAGTCTGGCTCTGAGGAAGACTTGGAGAAAAGACAGCTGAAGCCCTGGGAAAGGGCCTGACAGCCTCAAGGCTGTAGCCTGAGACAGGATGAAAATAACAGAAGGAGCCTGAGTGAAAGGGAAAAGCGGCAGGCCCCACCCCTGGACAGGCCTCGGCCACTCCCAAAGCCACTATACAGCACCCATGGGGGAGAGCCGGGAGCTCCACTCCACGTTAATGACCTTTGCCTTAAAAACAGCAACTCTGGTCTGACCCACTTTTCGCAATAAGGCAGGTTAATGATCAAGTTCTGGCACAAATACTTCCCCCTGCCAAGGAGGTTGGCTTTGCCCCCAAAACACTTGCAGACCTCCATCCCATCCCCGCCCAGGCCAACACTTATAAAAGGACAAAGATCACAGCCTGAGGACCTAAGATTGAGTACGTAAGCCCGTGTGTCAGGATGAACCAGAGGATGCCCCCCCCCTCCACGACACCCCCCATACCCCCAACTCCTGCTCTTCTCACAGAACAAGCCCCAGGAAAGGAGCGTTACGCGGAGCCTCACTCGCAGGGCTGCAGTCCGAGTGCGAGGAGAACGCCGCCGGAGATCCTGACGCCGAGGGGGGCCTGAAGGAGGTGGAGCCCAAAGTGTCAGTGACCCCGGCCTAGGGGGCTCCCCGCGCCGGGGGGCGGAGGGGGTGGGGCCGCCCGTTTCCTCCGTCCGAGGCGGCGGCGGCGGCGCACCCCGAAGCCGCGTGTGCGCGCACGTGTCCCCGCGATCCGACGCGCGTGTGTCCGCCGGGTCTGCCCTTCCCGGGACCCCACGTGCAATGCCCGGGCCGCATCCGGGGGCGACAGTGAAGGTGACCTTCAGAGCGGGGGCGGCCCCGTGAAGGGCCCGGTGAGGAGTCAGCCAGCCCGGCGCGCCCGGAAGGCGTTGGTCCGCGTGGAGTTCCGAACCCTCCCGCCCGGCCCGCCACCACTTCCCCGCCCGGCTGCCCCCGGCCCCGGCCTGCTCACCGGCCGCGCTCGGCCGCCCCTTGCCACCGGCCTGAGAGCCATGTTCCCGGGAGCTGTCGGTCGGGGCGGCCGCCGGCAACTCGTCTGTCTTGATGACCATGGTGGCGGGAGCGGGCGTCCGGCTCCGCTGTCCGCGCCGCCCGCCGCGCCACTAACCCTAGTGCCCTGCGCGCCGCGGCCGCTGCGGGAAGGACGGAGTCACCGGCCCACGTGGTGCGCGCTGTACCCTTTGACCCCGCTGCCGCTCCCCTGCCCCGCCCTCGCGCCCAGCCCTGCCCACGGCGGCCCGCGAGGGACAAAACACGCCGCGCCTTAGTGTCTGTCCACCAAGTGAATGACTTTCCCGAACGCCTTAAAGGCAACGTATCCTGGCTCCGGGGGGGAATGAAAGCTTCGCCCCGCCCCCTCCGGGGGGCGTGGCCTCGGAGAGACGTCCCGGCCGTTTGCTGCCGGTTGGCCGGGCGGGCGCCGTGACCTTGGGTGGAGACTAGTCGGGGCTGCGGTGCCTAACCTCCCCTCCCCCAACGACCCTCCGTTTCCCTCCGCCCAGCCGCCAGAGGCCGCGCGGCCGCCAACGTGCGGGGCTAGCGTGACCCCCAACACCCTCCTCACCCAGGAAGGAGTGGGGCTGGAGAAGGTGCAGAGACCAGCCTAGAGCGTGGTCAGCAAAGGCGGGCATGAGGCTGCTAGTCGGGGAGCAAGTGTCGGAAACAGACACCAAACTTCGTCCTGAGCCACCACCCCTCCCATCAGCGTCTTACACACCACACACACACTCACACACACACTCCCCAGATGGGTTCTCTCTTCCAGGCTGAGATCCTTACACTCTCATTTTCCAATGGAGGAAACTGAGACCAAGGTCACACAGAGAGCTAGATTAGAGACAGTCTAAATCCACAGCCTCCACCCCGTGCTGTAGTTTCCATTTTTCTGTTTAATTGGTTTCTTGAGGACTGGGAGTGAGAGCAGAGGTGGACCGTTGGGCCGGGGGCGGGTGGGAGGGGGGGGGACCGCGGGAATGCTACTGTGAATTGAACTCGGGACCCCAGGTGTACTAAACGTGCTTGAACCCCTGTACCAAACCCTCAGGCCCAGAGGGCCTTACCTAGACAGTTGTAGTCTAGGCTGAGGATAGAGTCAGCCTCCCCTGCACAGGCACAAGAAGTCCTTGAAGCCATTTGCCAGGATCTAATGGAAATTGAGAATCTTAAACTGCAGAGAGGGGGAGGCCTAAGTAGCTAGGCCTTTGTACAAACTGTAAAGGAAAGTAGACTTTGCCCTGGAGTGCAGTTGGTGAGAAGAGGTGCCAGGGAAAGAAGGAAGCCTTTAAACTGGAGGAAGGGAGGTGAGAAGCAGTAAGACTCATTTTTCAGTATGAGCTCTCTGGATGAGTGAAGGGGGGGGGGGGGATGGATTAGGACCATTGCCTAAGAAGGTTGGATATGACAGGACTCACTACTGGGTGTATTCAGAAAGACAGGCTGGCAGGCAAGGTGATGTGTGAACCTAATGCTGAGTTGGACTGGAAATCTGTACCAGCAACTTCTACCTGTCTCTTTGGCAAACTTGAATCTCAGGTGCTCCCCACCCCCCTTCCCAGTGTACGTGTAGGGTGTGACTCAAAGCCTCTGCACTCTCATTTAGCTTTTTTCTCTGAAGCTTGCTGCTCTACACTTTAGCCACACCTCCACTTCTCACTTTTGGGGAGTTATTTAGAGATAAAAGTCTCATGGAGGGGCTAGGAAGATGACTCAGTGGTAGAGTGCTTGCCTCACATGCATAAGGCCCTGGGTTCAATTCCTCAACAACACATAAACAGAAAAGGCTGGAAGTGGTGCTGCGGCTCAAGTGGTAGAGCACTTGTCTTAAGCTAAAGAGCTGAGGGACAGCGCCCAGGACCAGAGTTCAAGCCCCATGCTTGTCCTGGCTGCCTTTGAACCACTATCCCCAGATCTTGGCTTCTTGAGTAGTTAGGATTATAGGCTACCAGCATCTCACTTTTTGTTTTTTGTTTTCATAGTGCTGAGGATTGAATCCAGGGCCTCATGTGTGTTAGGCAAGCACTGTACAGCCCAAAGTTGCTCCCTTTATCAGATGAATAGCCTCGAAAGCACTTTGGAAAGTATGAAACAAACTTGTGGTCAGGCACAGATGTCTCATGCCTGTAATCCTAGCTACTCAGTAAGCTGAGATCTGAGGATCACGGTTCAAAGCCAGCCCAGGCAGGAAAGTCTGGGAGACTCTTATCTCCAGAAAACCGGAGAAAACCAGAGGTGGTGCTGTGGTTCAAGTGGTAGAGCGCTAGCCTTGAGCTAAAGAGCTAAGGGACAGCACCCAAGCCCAGAGTTCAAGCCTCCTAACAGACAAAACACACACACACACACATACACTTGTAATTCACTCAGTCTAATAAGCACAGATGACAAGAGTTCAGTGTAGCAGGACAGGACAGGTATTCAGATGGAAAAACATCAGTCAATTGTTTGAAGTGGGATAAATCCAGAAACATTATGGCCAAAGTTGCAGAATGAAGGGCCTTCTAGAGAGCTTTTCTGCATGTTCAGGGCAGGCAGTAAGGACTTCTGGGAAGAAACTACTAGACTGAGTTTTTAAGATTATGAAGAATTTTAAAGAGGGCTGGGAAGATGGCTCAGTGGTAGAGTGCTTGCCTTGCATACATGAGGCCCTGAGCTGAAGAGCTCAGGGACAGCAAGTGCCCAAGCCCACAGTCCAGGCCCCATGACCAAAAAAAAAAAAAAAGAAAAAAAAGGGGCTGGGAAGGTAGCTCAGCGGTAGAGTGCATGCCTTGCAAGCATGAGGCTCTGGGTTCGATTCCTCAGCACCACATAAACAGAAAAAGCCGGAAGTGGTGCTGTGGCTCCAGTGGTAGAGCGCTAGCCTTGAGCTGAAGAGCTGAGGGACAGCGCCTAGACCCAGAGTTCAGGCCCCATGACCGGCAAAAAAAAAAAAAAAGAAAAAGAATCTGATGGGCGGACACAGAAAGAATGAGAATTTACTAGTTTAAATATTTTAATTTGATTTAGAATTTGTATGTGTGTACTTGTCCTAGGCATTAATCTCAGGGCTTATATATTGTCCCTGAGCATTTTCCCTTAGGTCAAGTGCTCTACCACTTGGAATGGAGCCCTAATTCTCTCTCTCTCTCTCTCTCTCTCTCTCTCTCTCTCTCTCTCTCTCTCTCTCTCTCTCTTCCAGTCCTGGGGCTTAAACTCAGCCTGGACACTGTTCCTCAGCCTCTCTGTGCTGAAGGCTAGTGTTCTACCACTTGAGCCACAGTGCCACTTCTGGCTTTTTCTGTTTATATGGTGCTGAGGAATAGAACCCAGGGCTTCATGCATGCTACACAAGCACTCTACCATGAAACTACATCCCCAGACCCATCCTAGAGATACTTTCAACATATAAAGTTGTACATATATGTATATGTACATACTCTCTCATCTGTACTCTTTTTCCTCTTTTTTTTTTTTTTTTTTTTTTTGCCAGTCTGGGGCTTGAACTCAGGACTTGGACACTGTCCCTGAGCTTCTTTTGCTCAAGGCTAGCACTCTACCACTTGAGCCACAGTGCCACTTCTGGCTTTTTCTGTTTATGTGGAGCTGAGGAATCGAGCCTAGGGCTTCATGCATGCTAGGCAAGCACTCAACCACTTAGCCACATTCTCCCCTTCTCCCCCCACCCTTTTTCTCTCTTTCTCTCTCTCTCTCTCTCTCTTGTGGTCAGTTGTTGGAATTAAACTCAGGGCCTGGGTGCTGTCTCTGAGCTTTTTTGCTCAAGGCTAGCACTCTACTACTCCGAGGCACAGCTCCACTTCTGGTTTTCTGGTGGTTAATTGGAGATAAGAGCCTTACTCACAGATTTTCTGCCTGGGCTAACTTTGAACTGCAATTCTCAGATCCCAGCCTCTCTGAGTAGCTAGGATTAAAGGAATGAGCCAGTGCCTGGATCCTTTTCCCTTTTATTAGATAAAGAATGGTATACTTGCCAGGTGCTGGTGGCTCACACCTGTAATCCTAGCTCCTCAGGAGGCTGAGATCTGAGGATCATGGTTCAAAGACAGCTGGGTAGGAATGTCCATGAGACTTATCTACAACAAACCACCAGAAAACTGGAAGTGGCACTGTGGCTCAAGTAGTAGAGAGCTAGCCTTGAGCTGAAGAGCTGAGGGACAGTACCCAGACCCAGAGTTCAAGCCCCATGACCAACAAAAAAAAGTAAAAGAAAGAAAAAGAAAAATGATAGGGTTGGGAAGGTGGCTCAGTGGTAGAGCGCTTGCCTTGCATGCATGAGGCCCTGGGTTCAATTCCTCAGCACCACATAAGCAAAAAGAAAAAAGCCGGAAGTGGCGCTGTGGCTCAAGTGGTAGACTGCTAGCCTCCAGCTGAAGAGCTGAGGGACAGTGCCCAGGCCCAGAGTTCAGGCCCCACAACCGGACCCAAAAAAAAAAAAGTCACAGTCTTTCCTGACTAGACTGGCTTTGAACTTCAATTCTCAGATTATAACCTCCAGAGTAGTTAGGATTGCAAACTTCAACCACGGACACCCAGCGGCAGCTGCTGTTCCTTCTCCCCCTCTTTTCCTGTCAGTTGTAGGGTTTGAACTCAGGGCCTAGGCACTATCTCTGAGTTTTTGTGCTCAAAGGCTAGTACTCTACCGTTTGAGCAACAGCTGCACATTACTAATTCTTTTATTCTTCTCCTGTTTTCCTTCTCCTCCCTCTTCTTTTCTTTCCGACAGGGTCTCATTATGTAGATCAAACTGGCCTTGAACTCTCAATCCTCCTACCTTTGCCTTCTAACTGCTAGGATTATAGGCATGTGCCACCATACCTAGCTTTGATGGTATTTCTTTTTTTAATTTTTTAATTTTTTATTTTTTGGGTCCGGTCGTGGGGCCTGAACTCTGGGCCTGGGCACTGTCTCTCAGCTCTTCAGCTCAAAGCTAGCGCTCACCACTTGAGCCACAGCACCACTTCTGGCTTTTTTCTTTTTGCTTATGTGGTGCTAAGGAATCGAACCCAGGGCCTCAGGCATGCAAGGCAAGCGCTCTACCACTGAGCCACCTTCCCAGCCCCGTATTTCTTTTTTTTTTTAAATGTGTGCTTTTTAAAAATATATAATTTTATTGTTATCATTAAAGTGTTGTACAGGAATTACCATAAGTCAGGTAATGAGTACTTTTTTTGGAC